ATGGATCTATACGGGTCTGCACTGGTCTCTCCCATGGATCTATACGGGTCTGCGCTGGTCTCTCCCATGGATCTATACGGGTCTGCACTGGTCTCTCCCATGGATCTATACGGGTCTGCACTGGTCTCTCCCATATACGGGTCTGCACTGGTCTCTCCCATGGATCTATACTGGTCTGCACTGGTCTCTCCATACGGGTCCGTGCTGCATGCTCCTGGATCCATACGGGTCCGCGCTGGTCTCTCAAGTCTGGTCTATGCGGTCTCTCTTCGGTCCGCGCTGGTCTCTGCGCACCGGTCTCTCCAGTCAGGTGTCTCCAGTCTATGCGGTCTCTCCTATAGGTCCGCGCTGGTTTCTGTGTGCTGGTCACTCCAGTCTCTCCTCGGGTCTGCATTGGTCTCAGCGCTGGTCCGCGCTGGATCTCCTCCCAGGGTCCAAAATATTTTGAGATTAATCTCAAAACATTTTGAGATTCATCTTTAAAATAATACATAATATATTTTTAAATTAAGCTCATAACATTTTGAGATTAATCTCATCAAATTCTTAGATTAATCTCATAATTTTGCTAGTTCGACTTTATTATCATAATATTTCGACTTTTAAGTCAACATTTTATAACTTTATTCTCAGTCTGGTAAAAGAAGAAAAAAGGGTGACTCTTTTGCTCCGTGTAAAGGCCTGTTGCTGTTTCCTCTGCCGTCTGCACACGGCCCTGCAGCCCCTTATATGGGCATTAGTGGGCGGTTACTTATGCTAAGTACCTATGCTAATGAAGCACCTGGCACGCGCGCTGTACTTACGAGGAAATGGGATTCATCAATCTGAGAGAACAGCTGCGAACAATTCAGCGGCTTACGAGTGCGTTGATGAATCCCACGTGGGGACTTCTTAGAAATCTACTTAAGGACAACTTGAGAAGAAAGTTGAGTAGTTTCTTACGAAGTTATTCGTGAATGAGGCCCAATTTCGTTTCACTCATTAAATATAAAAAAGTAATTTATAGGCAATATTATTTTGTGTGATGTCGTAGTGGTTCAATGACATCTTGCTACTGAGACAGTAGGGGCACTGGTAGCACATTTGTACCAGTTCCTGAGATAATGGCGTGGATGGATCTAAAATCAGGCTCAGGTCTGTTTTTGATACAAGAACAATGATGTAGAAGGGTTCAAACTAAAGTTGATTTAGCATAATGCGACTCCTTTAATGCTAAATAATGCTGTTTAAACATGTATATATATATATATATATTGCATGTTGTATAGGTATGTATGTACAAGCAGTATGTATACACAATGCCAGTAAAGTGACCTTCAGGTACAACTATAGCGATCCAAAGTAAACTAAAGATCCATCTCATTCCACGGTGGAGGGTGATACCATTTATTCTAATTTCTTACACGTAATGCACAGATTTTTCCAAACCTCTAGATTCCATTTGTTTGAGTTCAACCCAAAGTAGCTTTTGCTGTGCTCAAAACCTAGTTAGAACATTTTCACAACGTCTGGCTCTTTATCCCTCCCCTTTTCACCCATTCTCTGTGATCTGTGTTATGTAACTGTCTCAGAAATAAATTAAATTAATTCTCGGGTACAAATTTCCCTTGCTTCACCCATGACATCACCAAAGTGGTTCAATCCAGTCAAAACAAAGTGAGCAGTCGTCTCAATAGCAGCAGCACACTGCAAAAAGTGATGCAAAAAAAAATTGCTCAAATTTGGTAAAATGGATCTTGATTTGGGAGAAATTCATTTAGTCATATTTGAAGAACTGTTGCTTTATTTTGTCATTCCAAGGAAGATATTTTGTGTATCTTTTAAAACAGGATAATTTTGGTTGTCCCATTGGCAAATCTTGACAGTCAGAAGGACCATTTAAATTAAAATAAAAACCACCTGAAACCAGCAATTGTTACTTAATATTGTATCCTTTTTTGCAGTGTAGCAGCAGTAGTAGTAGCAGCAGCAGTAGTAGCAGCCGCAGCAGAAGCACTACTAGTACATAGATAGATATGGCCTGTGGATTTGCCAGTGAAGTCTGTCAGACAGAAGCAGCACATGTGAGCCAAGGCTGACATCTCCATTTTTCTCTCACTGAATGCCACTCCGCCGAGAGACAACCATCTGCAATCCGTCCCGGGCTTTTTTTTTTACGATTGGATCATCCGTCTCCAAACGCTTTCAAACGACACACACAGAGCCGCCATGCAACACACCCCGAACCTTAGGGACTAAAGAGAAATGACAATCCATACAGCAAAGATGAAGGAATCAATAGGGATGTATCCTGTGGGGGGGAGCGATAAACGGTGACTTTGTAGTAGTGTCAGTTTAAGAAGCACAATAGAACTTTTTAGGGGTCTCGATGCTTGTCACCATGGAGATCAGATAAGCTTAAAAGCTGTTGTGCCAGTTCGGCCGTATTAACCCCTCGATTTGCCACAGAAGCTCTCACACTTTCTATACATGGACCTGTCCTTTCACAAATGTTTCCCTACATTGTATCAGTTTTTATTTCTGTAATTGATTGTAGTTGTCCTCTATCTACATTTAATCAAGTATTTTCTATTGTGAGTAGTTTTCTATTCTATGGGGAGTTAGCAGGCTAAGTAAGTAAGTAAGTAATATTTATTTATTTCACAGAGCAGAGTGACAAAGGGCTTTACAATTGTTGTGAGCATTTGTCTCACACTCCACACAGAGATGGGAGCAGGGTCGCCATAAAGGAGGCGCATGGCAGACCTATTTTACATGTTTTTTTATTCTTTGAAGTGGGAGTTGCCTATAATTCTGTTTTTTAGTCCAAGTAGAAACAGCAAAATATTGTGAATCCTCGTCAAATCAGACCTGATGAAAGATCTCTGTGAGTAGGGATATGACTCTTTGGAATGAGCTGATTATCTGAGTGAGAGTAGGCTTTTCTTTTCACTTTTCTGTTTGATAATTTGATCTAAAATTGTGATTGTAGGCCAAAATTGCATGCATACAAAAACTAGTAATAGAACTGTTTCAGAGCCAGGAACTACAGTAGATACATTGTTTCTATTACTTGGTTCCATTGTTTGGTTTAGAAAGTTATGTACCCCAGCTTTAACCAGCACATGCACATTTCTTTAAAATAGTGACAAAATGCACTTATTTACGCTTTGTCTTCAGTGCAATAAATCAACTTCTCCCTGATGAGAGAAAACAGACAGTACCGACTGTAAATGAATACACTCAATCCTTCTTCAAAGGGCATTCCTGGCTAGTTTTTTTTTTTTCCTGGACGTTGATATGGCAACCTGTCAGCGGCGTGGCTTTTCAGTTGTTGTATCTTCAAAGACTTGTCATGAGACCTTGCGGGGAGGAAAATCATTGTCCCAAAATCAGAGATGGGGATGAGCCTGACTCTTTGGATCAAGGGCGTTTGGACAAATGCAAGCGGTTGATGTCACACAAAGAGGTGGTCCATCCGTTTTTTTTCGAGGGGGCACCGTGAAATCTCCTGTCACTAAAACTTCATTGTGTGGAGATTTTTCATTTGAGGAATCGCGGCGCCGATAAGCTAAGGTGTGGAGGGATTTGCGACAAGGAATGTATTTAGCTTAAAAGATGTCGTCGGATAATTTACCCGGCGCTACGAAGCCAAAGAATTCCGAGATGAAAGGAAAAAGTGATGGATGAATTTATTAGGACTCCCAAGTCGCCCCCGCATCAGAGCAGAGAACCACGGCGAGAGGAGAGACAGAAGACTACAGCAGAGCGACATAAACAAAAAAACAGAAAAAATATGGTGGAAGGCGTGGATTCAGGAAAAAGAGAAATCAGATGTGAAGGTGGGTGGCATGTGTGGACAGAGCAGAGGCAGGTGGAGAGGTGCTATCGATCCAAGTTGCTGTGTTTTTTTCGGACTTTGTAGGAGTAAAGAAAGAGAAAGCCGAGAAGGGGCTTGACCTGCCGACAAAGACTGGTAGCAATGAAGGTCCGAATGAATGTCACTCAACATCACTGTCAAATGTATGCTACTTTAATTTCATAATGACAAACTTTACTTTAACCCTGACCAAAAGTCCCCATTGAAAAGTTCTCAATTGCCTGCATTTCCCCTTTAACATCCACAACGGCTTGGAATATTTGATGCTAGCTGTGGATGAACATTTTTCTCCTCTCTGATGGTTCTTCCAGTTCCTGTAACTTCCTGGACTGGATTGCATGTTTAAGACCTCCCCATAGCGACTCAATGATAAAATGAAAGTAGACAATACTTTTGTTTGACAATAGCTTCACACTACAACTAATGATTAAGAATTAGTGTTTGCTTTATCTCTGTATGTCGCATCTTTGGCTCTAACTACTGTATGCATGGCCCATCTATCTACAGTATCTATCTATCTACTGTATCTATCTATCTCTCTATCCTTGTGTTATCATTCAAAATCTCCAACATATGCCCAAAAAAAAAACTTGTCTGGGTGTGTGTGTAAACTTTCAAGCACTTTCAGGGGCCGAAGCTGTGACTGTTTCCCCTGTCTACTTTGGAAAATTAACTCTTTCAGCACCATTTGTTCCAAAATAGCTCTTAAACAAGCAGAGCATTGAGGTTGCTCCGGTCTTACATAACAGGTGAAGTGACAAAACGCAACAGCCTGTGTCTTCGGCGAATGTTTACGGGGGTAGATTCTCCACAGGTCACTGGCTGATGCTCAAACCGTCTCACACCCGAATCATTAATCTTTCTATTCCCCCCTCCCGCTCTCACATTAATGCATTTCTTCTATCCCTCCCTCGCTTCTTCCCTCTCTCCACCATCTACCACAAGCTTGAATGACTGAGAGGAGGACAGCCAAATGGGACACAGAGACGGAACAAGACGGCAATGCCAGGACTGAATTCGTTAGCAGAATTCGCAGAGATGACAGTGGAGACAGACTGGTACAAACGTACAGTAACATGATTAGTACAGGCAGAGAAATACGCCGTCATCATAGTGAATGAGTATATTCCATTTACTGCACCTGGGAGTCCGAGATTTCCGATGGCTTCTCTGTGAGGCTGCTGCTTTCGGCTGGGATAAGATCGTTGTATTTTGTCGTGCTGACGTCTTCATCGGAGTAGTGGAGGCTGCCGGGGCTTGGTCGTGGAGGTGACCTGGATAAAAAATACATAAATATATGTTATGACACTTTAAAGTTGGAGTAGCTGAATATCAAGCCACATTTATTTCAATAAAATCCATGTTATCATTCAATTCAATTTTGTATTAGCCTACGTCACAACACCGCAATAAAAACAAACATGTAGGAGCCCTTGGTCTATGTCCATAAATATGAATGAATGTTCCTAAATAGCACTAGTTCCAACTAAAGAATAAGTTGCCTTTGATTATGCTCAAAAACTTAGTCGAAGGCCATGTTTGTCAATTTTTTTCCAAATTTTAACTAATCCTCAACATGCACAGCAAAACTTTTTAAAAATGGAAAACTAGTTTCCATGTTTGTGTCCTTGGGCAAGACACTTAACCCCACTTTGCCCAAAGCCCCCACTGAAAGATCAAGGCTATGCTCACACTCAGAGAGCAGCCGTCCTCCAGTGGACTCACCACCTGCAGAGGGTCAGTGAGGGGCTGGTGCTATGAGACTTGGGTGGCATCTCTGACTGCCACCCCCCTGACCCAGAAATGGATTAAAGGGTAGAAAATGGATGGATGGATGGATGGAAAACTAGTAGATAAATATGCGCCTCGGTGCCAATTGTGCAGGTCACAGTGTAGATTAAACTTTAAAATATTATGTGGAATTTATTACTGTATGCAGCCTCCCTCAAGTTTCCGACAAAAGTCCATAAATCCAAAACAGATTGAGGCTAAATAAGCACTAACATCACTCCATCGCTGTGTAATCACTGGTTGTAAATGTTGATGGCCCCGGGAAATCCAAATAGCCTTAAGACACAGAAGTCAAATCCCTCTACAGGAAAATGGCTTACCACTATCTGCATTCATATTCCCTCCCATTGAAAAAAAAGATCAGTTTTAATTATGTACCCCACATGTAGTTAGAATTCCCTTTAACCTCCTGTAGAGACTTGGCTAATTTGTGAAGGGATTTGGATCCGTAACCCTTAGTGAATTTTGAGTCTCCAACACACTTTTTTCCTTTTTCATGTTTGCATACATTGGCGTCTATGTGTCGACCGTTGTGACCAAATCGGAATCACGGGACACTCATGGGAAGGTTGCAGCCTACGGCCAATGGAAGTTAAACATGAATAATTCTTCCTCATTCAAAGCTCATTGTGGGCAGTGGAATGTCAAACCACAGTGCCCATCTGAGTAAATTAGAATCTGTGGTTTTCGATCTGTTCGGTCTCACGCACACACACGCGCACACACACAGACTCTCCACGCCTTGAGCCGACTTGCTCCTAATGAAATCACAGAGGAGAACAGTCGGCGTGTGGGTAAAGCTGTGATAAAAAATAATGCCAATCAAAAATGTGTGGATAGATATTGTCTTGAAAAGATTTGAGGTTTAAGATTGAGAAAAGAATACATTTTGTACTCTAGTTTTTACATTATATCAGTAGTGTAAGGTCTGTCAGGCACTTTGGTAAGTAGTAATCTAGTAAGTAAACTTTACTTGTATATTGCATTTCACAGACAAAGGTCACACAAAGAACTTTACAATGTGACACCTTTCTCATTATATTCATTCCTACTGTACCTCTTTTTACTGTGTTAAAGAAAACCGTAGCACCTGGAGGATACCCACGCAGACATGGGGAGAACTTTCTGTGTAGCACAAGCGCTTACCACTGCACCATAGTAACGCCCTATAGCTATAAATGTATAATACGGTATATTGAGGATAAACTCTCGCTCTAGGTTGTGTTCTTGGTTGTGTGTGTTTTGCCCTAACGGTAATTCAATGTATCACAAATGGGTTATCCTTTGGTTGAGGATAAAAACAAATTATGAGCTAAAGATGAATTCATTACTGCTGTAGGTTGATCATAATGAAAAATCTCAGCCCCTGTGGACTCACCACCTGCAGGAGGATCAGTGAGGGGCTGGTGCTCTGTGGACTGGGCACAGCTCTGACTGCCACCCCCCCAACCCAGAAATGGATTAAGGGGAAGAAAATGGATGGATGGATGGATGGATAATGATCACTATAAAACTTGTGGCCAAATTAATGTGACTTTACTTCTTGTGACTCATACATTATTCTAAGACTCAGATGACTGTAAATTATTCAACAAACTGTAAATCTCACAGCAAAATTGCAGCAACATATACAGTACATTTTTTTCTCTTACACAATAGTTGAAAAGGTGCACGGCCGAATATAATTTGTTTAGCTACAAACTATAGAACTCTGACACTGAAAATATGAAGTAGTTCTGACAAAGCTTAACCCTTGAAAAAAAAAAAAAAAATACTTTATAGAATTGACTTTTATCAAGGAATCTTTGTGGCTACTTATATATCTGCATGTGCACCTCATGAATCAGATTTCCCCCTGTTAAACGTTACTATTATACCGTTTAAAACAGGGAAGCATTTCTGTCCGCTCAGATGTCCAAAATCTCATTTATTCATGACGTTTTGGCTTTATGCCTTCATCAGATCCTGTTTTTCCATTTCTTTTGACCGCAAAATACAAAGTGGTTGCCAGCCCAGGTGCTCATATGCCTCCAAATAAGTGGGAGGTCCAAGTGAGGTCACCTGGTCAGCTCATTTTTTCAAACAAGAGAGAACAGGATTACATTATTTACAAATATTTACAAAAATATGTACACAATATTTATGTTTTAAAAACAACATCTCAAATAATATACTGATTTACCACACACAGCTTTTAGTTTTGGACGTGTGAATACTCATGTCCATTCTTGGTCTTTATAACTTGACTTGTGTGACTTTTTCTGTATCTATATGTATGAAATCTGAGGAATTCTACTTTTGAATCTTTTTCCACCAGAGAATATCAAGTGCTTGTTACCGTAGCAACACACTGTTTACTGTCAGAAGTTAGCATTTGGCTTTTTTTTCCTGCTGTATTTCAACTGCAGTTATTATGACCAGTGGGAGCATGTGCACTTGTATATTGTAAATAGTAACTGTAACTCTATTTTAATTTTAATTTATTCCTTAGAACTGTTTTTTATTCTCTATTTTTATTCTTTATTTTCATTTATCTCTTTCTCTCTTTCTGACTGTTGCACTGAGCCAAAGCAATTTCCAAGTCTGTGACTTCCTGTTACTTACGTGGCAATAAAAATGATTCTGATTCTGATTCTGAAAACAATTATTTAGGGGAACTTCGCAAAATTGCATTGGGGTTTGAATGGGAGCAGTCAAAATGACGGCTCTGGGAGTTCTCATAGTTTCAGAATTGTGTGTTAAAAGTGTTAAAGAATTGCTTGAAGACATACAATAAAAACTGTGTTAAATCCCCAAAAAACAAGTCCAAAAATGGAGCTTGGTGTCCAGGCGTGCTTTCTGTAAATACGTGGCATAGCTGTCCTTTCTGCTTGAGCTCCTCCGTTTTTCCCCCTGTCGAGCTGAATAAAACCTCCATCTGTTTGTGCTGATTGGTGCTGGTTTGGCTTCACTGTCCACTGTCCAGCACCGGCTGACATTTCTGCCAGTGGAGACTTAACGGCGCTACATTTGCATAAGCATTTCAGTGCAGTCGCAAAATATTGTGGCTACATTCCGGTAGTCAGCGTTTCCTTTTTAGAGGGGCGGGAAAATGGAAGAAAAAGAAGAGAAAAAAGACCTTGGGGAAATCAGGAAGTTTGTTGTAATTCAATTAGGCTACAAGAAGCAGGATTACGCCTAATTGACTAGAGAGGAAATTAGAACAGATGATTATTTAAAAAGATTATGCCAATTTATGGGTTCATTATCTTGCTGGAATTTCATTGAAAATCACAAAAAAGGACGATTACTGGTTTTATGTTTTTGGACACTCAAAGACGCTTTACCTGACATTATTTTGTTTAATTCCATAGCTGCCCAGGGTCAGACTGACGGAAGGGAGGCAACAGGCTGTGCTATCTGCCCCTCCGACCACTACCAATCATTCACACAAACACACCAAACTCATTCTAGGAAAAATAGGTGAAGTTTCTTGCCTCAGGACAGATATAGATAGATAGATACTTTATTGATCCCCCGTAGGAGAAATTCTGGACACAACACCAGTTTGGCACTTTATAGCCGAAACCGCCCCACTGTGGCACCTGGTATTCCCAGGGGTCTCCCATCATTGAACTGACCAGGCCCTGTCATGCTTGGCTTCTGAGTTCTGCCGGTATACAGTTTACGGCCAAACAAATGAATGAATTATCTTTAGGTCATCATCCCCCCCAAATGGCAAATAAACGGAATGTTGAATTTTGAATACAAGACTGGATTATTTGAAATGTTTTTAGATCCATTTCCAAAAAGAATTTTGATGGGAAAAAAATTCCCAGTTGTGTATTTGTTTTCATCATGAACATTCAGTCAAAATCAGAGACCTGCCCTTTCATGTGAAACCATGACAAAGACAAATTGTTGGACTCAAAGAAATATAAAAGCAACTATTTCATTTTGTCCACAAGCCGTCGCATTGGAAAAAGACTGAATAGAATACTTTTCTTACAATCTATGGAATTCTAAAACCCTGACATTGAACACATGAAGTAGTTACAACAGAGTTTAACCTTTGAGCACAAAAAATATCCTTTATAGAACTGAACGGTTTGCATTAAACATGTATAAATGTGAAGGTTGGGCATAGCTTCTCTTCGTGAACCAGCAACACACATTCTCAAGACGTACATGCAGTTCAAAAGTGCAATCCCGTCTGCTTCATAAAAATGGAAAAAAAAAAAATCCACCCAGTAATTCTCTGGAGTCCCTACTTTTCAAAACAGTTTCAGCGCAAACTGGAGATTTTGTGTTTTTTCCTATTCCCAAAAGAACACTTTATGGTAACCTCTGACATTCTCTGCGGTCCTTTACGACAAGCACCACTCATGAAAACCAAACAAAGCCGGTCTTATTACGAGTCCGTTGAGACATTATGATAAATGCAGTGGTTTAGACAAGATGGAGGAACTCTGCACTGCGTTGGCCTCGTGTTGTTGACTCTTGAGCATGTTTGATGGTGGTGTGAATTATTCATCAGTGCTCAGGATCAGCCACAGAAGAGCATCCTCCATCTTGTTGTGGTGAAAACTGTTTTTTTATGACATATGTTGTAGTTACGCAATATTATTTCTCTTTGGTGCAGAGCGATCGGGACGTTTTAAGAGCCCAGTGTTTTGAAGTGCTTTCATACAGGTCAAAAAACTGGTAGTTCTGATTGGTTAGCCCAAATTTATAATTATTATGTTGAGTATTGTAAGTGATTCCAATTGGCATTTTGATTGTTGATGTCTTGGTTAGTTGCGGTGCCTAACTTTCAATATACCTGTAACTACATAGAATAACCAATTTCTCACTCTCAAAACAGTTGGGTTCTATCACAATTAGGCATAGAACATGTAATAGCATAAAACATGAAATAGAACATGTATTTTGGCCTCTGTCACGTCTTTAGATTGGATTTTTTTCAGACAAAATGGGGGAAAGAGAACCACCTTGACTCAGCCAATCAGGTCTCATCCCAACCCTCAAATATTGACTCACAGGGCTCTTTCTTACACATTTCATAAATAAAAAACATATTTTCTAATGAACTGAATACAGCAGGTTGTGGTCAGATTTTTTTCGGGAAACTAAACTTTTTCAACCTGTTTTTTTTGGACCAAACAAAATCTATTAGTTATGATAAAACAGTTAGGTTCTCCAGCTTTTAGATCAATGGCAATTCTGAATAAGGCATATATTGTTTTTTCTGTCTAGTATTTCTGGGTGAAAAACATCCCAGCTATCTCTTCATTTGCGATTGAAAACCAAACATTAAATACTGTTGCTTGAAAAATCAATAGATAGATCCAGATATTCTATGTTTTAAATGGGAATATGGAAGTGATTGCTTTTATAACTTGGTCTCACTTCACATATACCGTACTTTTCAACTGAATTATCATATATTTATCATTAACTATTTGACTTTTTAATCACATGGTTCTGTCCCACCAACCCAAGTAATGTAACAGAGTACCATTCTCACACTTCCACCTCCATGACACACTTGTCCTTGTCTACATATACTATTTACGCAGACAACAAAACCAAGTACAAGAGAATGAAGAAAATATGTCCCCCCTTGCTGCCCTTATTGCCCTTGCTGTCTTGCACATTATTTGACCCCGATATGGCGCTAATCTCTTTCCAAATTCACCCATAAACGGCATTAGCTGCTTCTGTCAGACACAGGTCAGGATTATCGCTCCGTACAGTGGGATCGTGCGGTTGTTTGATTCCTGATCCCGGCTAAGGCCCTCCGACTTTATCCTGTCTTTTGTATGGGGCGTCTGGAGAGCGGGGTGCTGTATTAATGCCTAATCGCGGGCTCAGGTGTGGGGATTTCTGTGTCTCCGGCGTCTCTGCGCGGCGGCGGAGTTCAAAGAGAAGATTTGAAAAGGTACATCTGTGCATTCTTCCACTCCTCGGCTCTCGCTCTATCTCGCAAACCGTTCCTTCAGAGTTGATGCATAATTGGAAGCTGCCTGGAAGCTCCTCAAACACAAGACCAACTTTGATCAGCTCAAGGGCACGTTCATAAGATATTAAAATTATTTATAGTGTTTATTACCTGGGATGGAGGCAGTATTAAAGATTATTTAAAGGCGCACAATGTGTCTGGAGACGTTTTTGTGTTCGATGAGAGCAAACTTGCTATAAATTAATATTGTTTCTGCTTCATATCTATTGCCTGTCACGTATTACTTGTTCACTTATAGCCCCTGTTCAAATCCAGACTTAAAACTCACCTTTTCAGACTTTCTTTCCGCACATGACCAGTCACCTCAGTACCTTTGTCCAGTTCTTTTCTGTTTTCTGTTTTCTGTTTTTATTAATCCTAATGTTTTTGTCTTTGTTTTGTTTTTAATTGCATGCTGTATTTAAGCATGTTTTGTCCTTGGGTGTTTTGAAAGGTGCTTTTAAATAAAATGTATTATTATTATTATGATTAATACACTTTTTGTAATAAATGATGCACTACTTTGTAATTTCCTACCTCTGGTCACTTACCCATATACTGTACAGTTACATTTCTATTGTGTGTAGTTATATATCAGAATTGTAATAAAGTTTGTTCTTTGTGCATGCCTCTACTTCTATTTTTTTATGTTTTATAACTTGTTTGCGCTAGCCTGGTCGTACCACACCATAGTACAAATTACATTTCTTATTAAGGTCTCCATTGAGCTCCGTTAAGGAGGAGGGGTTAACTACTTTTGCAGATTGAAACAATTGGATCTGAGTTTACTGTGACGTATGTAGTGTGCCTGAGTGAGTTATTAGCATTTAGCATTTAGCCTAGCCATCTCCTTTGCCGCTAACGGAGCCCGTGGGGAGTAGTGCCACAATTTTTTCTAGCGATTACATTTGCCAAACATTCCTCTTGCTCCGGCTTCAATTTCTTGATAGAACCAGACCAGATCACTTTACTATCGCATTTTTTGCCATTGCCAAACTACAACCTTCCCGTTCGACGCAAACTCTTGACGTCACGCACATCTAACTACAACACCCGCCTCCCGCGCTCGCTGATTAGTCTGTCGAAATTCAACCGATTGTAATCGCTAACACAGGGACCAGACCCAGACGTTACATGCAGTGAAATGATGATTGAGAGGAGTGTACGGATGGATAAGGCCAGGCTATGTTTGCACCATAGGAAATAGAACATTTCTAGTTTGTGACTTCCTGTTGCTTACTTCCTGTTACTTGTTAGTTCCTGTTTTATTTTATGAATTATGCTTTGATTTACACTTTTTGGAAAACATGGACAAAACCTATGTCTAGGTACAAAGATGGACATTTCAGGTGGAGCAAACGAGGAAAATGTATGTGTTTTTTTGGTCTTTCGAAGTGTAAACTTTTTTTTTTCAAAAACAATCTGAAATTGTTGCATAACAAGCAATTGTGTAATTACTGTAAATTTCGACTTTCTGTGTCAAAAACGTTCATACTTTTGGCCCTAGACACGCTCCTACTTTTTAACTTCAACCCCAGACCTGAACACATCTGAACCATAAACTATACTATAACTTTTAAGCAACTGGAATCAATGAAAAAAAAAAAAAAAATCACATCTACCTCAGAAGAAACAACTTGTGTGTATATTTAAATTCACAGCAGAACTTTTAGACACATCAAAGCGCACCTGCTTCAGTTCTACTACTTTTTCTCTGATCCTTTTAGATGTGTTCAAATTCCCTGATGACAGACCGTCAGTCAGTCTCGAAGTCAAACTCAATCGAAATCCGCCTCTCTCCGAAGGCGCGCCGCTTTTAAGGCATAGTAATGGCTGCAAACTTGGGCTGAATCCTCATGAGTCAGCCTGCTCTTCCCAGGTGTCAGTCAAAGTGATTGGTTTAACACACTCCTCGCATGTCTGAGAACGACACACTCACCAAATACAGAAGCTCATTAAAACAGATTCAGCGCTAAGTCGACGTATACACCGCTTTTAAATAGCGGTAAAAAACATTCCTCGGCATGACAATGTTGCTGCCGCTGCTAATGCTTTGAGGCACGAGGCAAAGTTTCCCTCGAAAACACAATTATAGCGGCGGATTGCCTTTTAATTTAAATTTCAAACTCAGCCCGCAGTCTGTTTGTGGATTGTTGTTTTGAGTAGTTTTGTGTTGTAATGGGATTTTCAGGTCTTTGATGGGAGACTCACCTTTTGGAGCCAAAAGAGTTCTCCAAAAGACTTGCAAAACTTGTGGTAATACAGGACGTGCATTTAACTCAGATACTGACAACGAACTGGGAATATTAAACATTTTAGACCTCCAAGAATGTGTGTTATTATACCGTCAATTCAATTCAATTCCATGGATTCTTGTACAGCCCTAGATCACAACAGTAGTTATCTCGGAGGACTTTACAAAACGGTTGAATTCGCCAACACAGATCACAGAATCAGACATTTCAAACACAAGAAATGCAACGATAAAAAACACATAGAGCCATGGGTCCATAAGGGGCGAATGACCAATGTCCATAAATCTTGTTAAATGTCAACAAAAAGTTACTATCCCTTTTAGTTTTGACAAAAGAAAGACAAAAAAAGTTGATGGTGGACACATTTTTTAAATTTTGATTTTATGTTTATAGTATATGGTGTACTATAAACTTGGTAACACCATAACAACTTTAATTTGGTTTTAGAATTTTACATAACATAACTGCACATTTTTTCATTATTGCCCATGAAAACCTGGGAATGGAGGCTGTATTTCAATATATTAAGGAGTGACTTTCTTTTACTGTATTCTAACATAATGGTAAATAGCTTTGAAGAAGCCACACAGAGTGATCTGGCAGAAGAATACTTTTGTACATATTTTTCTATTTAGTTATTGATTTATTTACTTTTTATACTTAGCTAAATAATTCTATAAAATACACTCTCAGTCTGGAGACAAATTGGGGAAGGTGAGTGGCAGGGGGTTAGGAACAAAAGAGGGAACAAAAAGAACAAAAACAAAAATAGATTGCACTTCTGCTGCTGTACACCTGAATTTCTCCAACGAGGGATCAATACAGTTTCTATTTTGTTGTCTATAACTGTCATTACCTGCATTTAATTGTGTATAAATAGATAATAAAAATATGTACCGTATATTAAAAAAAAACTGTCATTATTTGCATTTATTTGTGTGTAAATAAACAATATATATATACAAAAATATAATAATAATAATAACTTTTGTACATGTGAAAATAATTAATCTATCCCTGATGATTACAACAGACAGCACACCAACACACACATCCAACACACACTCATATTCCAGCTCCTTCCATCTCCTGTGTCGTTGTGTAAGAGTACAGACCTGGTGTAGACCCCGTTCTTGCGGCAGAAGGAGTTTTTGACGGACAGGCGGCGGTTGTTGAGCTCGAGCGCGGGGAAGCGGCCCTCGTCCAGACTCACCATGTCGCCGTGCGTCAGAGCGTTGCAGTTGGAGTTGTTTCCTGGACACACGTACAGAGACACTGTGTCACGGCAGCCGGACACAGGCGCGCAGGGTTAGACGGCTGGACCACGTTAATAATGTGAAAAACAGGAGTCACGAATGTAGTGTGATAGGTTTTAGATTACACAGACGATGCCAAACTTGTATAAATAATCATTTTCCTATCAATTCAATACAAAAAGAGTTTTTAATGCGTTTTGGGTCAGTGTGTGTCAGGGTTACACAGGATTACACAGGTACATAGGAAAATAAATTCTTTTTTATTGTATTTTTTATACTCTTTTTGAGTGTTTTCCTTGAGAATTCCAGTAGTCAAAACTCCTTCAGTTCTCAATTTAACAAAGCAAGCATATAGATTGGTAAAAGACACACAAATTACATTATAATAATACAAAACAAAAATAATAAGTACTAAAATCAAATTATCGTCTTGTAAATGAACTCACTAGAATCTTGGTAATCCATCCCCAGCAGAGGGAAATATCGTCTTTTTGTAGATGTTTGATTTATTAAAGAGGTTAATCTCAAACGTAACGGTTAGGTTTAGACATAGGAACAATTCATTTGGATAAAGGTTTGGGTTAGCGGTTAGCCGAGCTTTCTACAGGACGAAATACCAAGATTTTTGAGAGCCCCATCTTTTACAATCATCTAACTCAGACCAGTTTGTAAAACTGAAGCATAAAACACAGGATTTGTCATGTTCTTTGACAGAAAAAGAGATTCTTCCACTTTTTAAGGCTTTAAAAATGCTACTATCAAACCAACTACTTATGTGCACTTTGTGGCTTGTCTCTGCATATTACCATTTTCATATTTCTTTTATGGGAAGAAAATGTGATGTTATGAGGTTATGTACGAACGCGACTACTGTTGAAATACCTGTAAATGCATGCAGATTATTGTTAATATCAATGCCACATGCTGGAATGTTCTGAGCAGAAACAGAAACAAGCTTTTGGACGAATCCGGCATGAGAAAAGTCACATTAGTCGACATCTCTGAGAAAAAGAATGTGTTTTTTTTTTCCTCTGCTCATTGATACTTCACTGACATCACTCAATCGTTACATAACACATTTCAATGCTAGGTAAACATATCAACAATCATTCAGCGCCAACCATGCATTATATATTTATCTGCAAACGTATATGTTTAATGAATAATTGAAAGATGAATATCAATATTTTCCTTTACTTCAAAGCCGCGATGACAGGCCAATTAAATCACATATTATCACCTCTGTGGCAGGGAGGCGTCTGTTGCTAGCTTTGAAGATGACAATCCCACGTCATTCTACAGCGATATGATAAAGATAATGAGGAAGGAGTCGCTTTTAATGACCATCGATAAAAGCAGAAAGTTTTAAAATTGATCCTGTGTTTGTATTTTGAATTTTTCGCTGTCTTTCTTCTGAAGTATTGACATTTTTTTCAGTGCTGGCCCCAGAGAGAAGGGAAGATATTGTACATGTTTTTGGTGGTGGGGAAGCTGGAGCATCCGGAGGAAACCTACGCAGACACGGGGAGAACATGCAAACTCCACTCAGAAAAGCTATGTTCGAAGGTGAAACCGAACCCAGGACCGTTTTGCTGGGAAGTGAGAGTGCTAACCACTCAGCCACAAGTAGCCCTTGGTAATACCACCATGAGGCAAAGTTATGGGTCAGATCTATGGAGAGGGGCTCACAGAAAGATGATATTTTTTCAAGGTATTTTATAGCAAAAACAAGTACATAATCATGTTTCAATGCAAGGTACACTTAATTTCATACAACGTACATTCCAGGCATAGTTTAAAGCTGGGGTACCTATGTTTTCCCCCTAAAAAAATAAGACTTATTAATTAGAAGAATCTTGTAAAAGTAAATTCTAGTGAAGATATCAGGCCACAACATGCCGTCTTCATCTATTTAGAAAACATGTTATTTTGGGCATACTTGTAACTTGTACTTGGGCTGTGAGCTGATTGGCTGAGTGAGGGTGGTGCTCTCTTTTTACGTGTCTGTCTGAAAATATCTGATCCAAATTTGTAACAGAGGCCAAGTTCATTTGCGGTTGAAAAGTTACGTACCCCAGCTTTAACACAGAAAAACTAGCGGAACTTCTACCAGAAACGTCGAATCGCACGAAGCTCGCATTTACTCATGACCTAATCAACACCACAAACACCAAACTAAACCCGTTATCATGAAATACAGCCCACTGGATGCATCCATATTCACTCGCCAACTATAAATTGACAATAAAAAATGAACTGGCTCTTTGTGTGAATATTGGATATGAATCAGTCATAATATTGATCAAGTGTCTGGGCCCATAAAGTGCCGAGCGTGGCTGTAAAGTGCACGCCTGGCGGAGCTAAATCTGCACACAGGTTAAAACAACTGCTGAGAGGAGAGAGCTATAGAGGCCGGGACCTTTGCGACTGCCACTACGGAGGCCTGGAGGGGGTCAAACTTTGGTTGTGAAAAAACACTAAAGCACCACTGCGATGTGTCATGGTTTGAGGGGACTGGTTAGTCAAAGCTGGGGTATCTAACTTTATTTGTCTCCAGAATAATATTGCCTTTTTTGTACACTCAAAAACGCTTCACATGTCCTTAGTCTTTCACTCCATACACGCCGGTGATAAACTACTACTACTACTACTACTTCTACTACTACTGCTGCTACACATTTTACACTTTTCTGACTTGAAAATATTATCCAAATATATGACAGAGGCCAATAATAAATGGATAGGGAAACTTGCGATAGGACTAAACTGTTTTTTAGAGTGAGTATGTTAGACGTATTGTACTGTATACCAGCTTTTCATTATTCATGGTTTGAAAGTTAGGTAGCCTTGCTTTAAATAGTTTGGTCTAGAATACGAACTAAAGGCACTATAACTAGAGATTAAAAACTGAATTATACAAGTTTATTCCCTTCATTGTGATACTAAAACCAACAAACATTAGAATTTAGACCAATGCAAAAAAAAAAATCATTGCTGCTTTCATTGTTTGATTTTCTAATTTGCTATTGGGAAATTGACTTTTAAGGCGACTTCGAGGTCATTTTGCACTGTACAAAGGATGAACTGAATCGAAAGATGCCTGGAGACTGATTGAGGAACAGAAGTAACATTCCTTGGTTTGGACAAGGGTTAGGGTTAGGGTTTAATGAATGAAAGACCTCACGTCTTTCATTCATTAAATCCAATGTGGACAAAACAGTATAAAACATATCTCCGACTTTCAGACAGCTGCCCTTGGATTACAACATTTTTAACTGGGAAATATTCCAGGACAAACTGATTTGAGCAGGGAAAAGCCTGACCCTTGGATTGGGGGTAATTGCTGAAAATGATCCAAACCCAACCTGTTTTTGTGGTGGCTTTGGTTTTAATTCCTGTTTAGACTTTGACCTGTATATCTGAGATTTTTAACTGGCCACCCCCATCTGTGATAACGCTGGAATTCCAACTATGTATTTGACACTAAAACTCTGTCTTTTTGTTTTTTCGAAACGGACTTGTGTGTGTGTATTTTTGTATGTTTTTAATCGTAAAGCATTTTGTGATCCAGGTCTGTGAAAGGCGCTATATAAATACACTTTACTGACTTACCGAGTACTTACTGACTCACAGAGCAGTCACTTTGACGGCTTTTAGTTTTACGAGAGTAATGACGCAGCTGTATTTGTTTTCTTTTTTTTACTTTTCTGTTTCTTCATGTAGTTATTTTTTTATGTTCTTGTTTTTTATAGAATTATCTGTCACGAGGTGGGAAGGAGGAGGACTCAAAATGCGAGAATGCCAAAATAAAGATTTAATAAAATAGAAGTCCAAGGTAAAAACAAAACTCAAAATCCAAAATACGGAACCAGGAGCACAAAATCAGGAACAGGACGGAACAGAAGTAGACAATACAATGGACCAGCAACAAGAGGAGAGGAGCACAGGGTAATTATAGACAGAGACACAGGTGAAACACATTAGGGCAGGGTAGACAATCAAGACAGGGGAACCAGGACGTCAAAGTCAAACTTAAAACCAAAGCACAGAGAACAGATATCAAAATAAAGCTAAAGTCCAAAATAAAATCCACACCATGACAGTACCCCCCCTCCAAGGGACAGCTCCCAGATGTCCCAAGAACAAAAGCGAGACAGGGAGGGCGGAGGGGGTCTGGAGGACAGGCCAGGGGCAGTTCAGAGGCCAGAACACGCAGGGGCAGGAGCTGAAGCCCAGTGGTGACCTTCCACACGGAACTGGCTCACCCCGGGCGGAGACAAATCGTTTAATTTAGAAAAATAGAGTAGAGAAGTAGAGAAGAGTGAGCGCTAGTAACAATAGCAACATCCCGTTAATATGCTACCAGTTAGCTCTAGCCCTTTAACGAAACGTTTTTTTTTTTCTGTATTTGAAGTTATATTACATCAGTTCTGACACTTATTAAAAGTGAATAACATACATTGCAGGTACATTGGAATAAAACTGATGATAAACTTTTCAGAATTGCTTTGATTTGAATGGAAGCAGTAAAAATGATGGCTCTGGGAGTTCTAGAAGTTTCAAAATCAAGAAAAAAGATGAGATAAAACTTTATTGATCTCACAATGGAGAAATGTACAATGACCAATGAAATGACAATAGAAATTCCTCGTGTTAAAAACAATTATAATTCTACGTTTATGGACAAATCTTACTCAAACAGTGCACGTCGTCTTTGATTCAATCTCTGGGTTTTTACAAGTATGCTGTACAAAAGCGGGGAGCACCAGCGGGATATTTTAGGGTCCTGTCCAGATTCCTGTAAAGCCAGTGAGAGCGTTCTTTGTGATGGAATGAGAGGAGCTCCTTGTTTTCCTCTGTCCGTCCAGAGAATGGGCAGTGACCCACGGGGACCCCTCTCCTCAGAACTGCTGAGCTCGGGGGAAATGCCTGTAGCGGCTGGTGTCAAAGACTGTACAATTTACATGAGGCTCGAGTCTGAACTGTCAAACCCCCGGATTTAAAACGCCACAAAAGAAACCCCCAACAACCGGAGCTTCCTGTGTTGGATTTGAATGCGTGGAATTGTCAAAATAGTTACTTAGATACTGTGTAATACGGGTTATCTGTGGACAATTACAATTCTCTGATGGACAATTTTTAATATTTTTTATATTATTGTATTTTAATATGTGTTCTATAATTGACTCTCTGTTGAGTTTCTATCATTCTGAACCTTTTCTTTTTTTTTCCTACTGTATATCAAAATCTAGGGACAAAAGCTGTAAATTAGCTTTGGCTATATCAACCAAATCTACTTGAATAAACCACGTAAATTAAAAATAAATGTAAAAAAACCCTGTAATTTCTGGCTTCAAGCGATATTGTGATGCTGTAACTTTTACCCGCTAATATTTCTCCACTGCTCGTATAGCGCAAATGAAGAGCAGAGATGCGTTTGAATGTCACGAGGGCGAGTTTGTGGCGAGCTCTAATGAAGCCCGCCCTCATTGTGCATGCGTCGGCGCTCACTCACCTGACTCTGACTTCTTGGCGTACTTCTTGCTCTGGCCTCGTATAATGAGGATGAAGACCAGTAGCAGAATAAAGATGAGTCCGACCAGCGCCACCACCACCAGGAACCACCACTCCTCGTAAAACGGAGGCACTTTTTGGGCTGAAAAAACATGAAAAAACAGGAAACAAACATTTATAAGCCGGGGACAGGAGAGTATTAGTAGTATTACCTGGATTAAGCAGATTGGCAATGTATAGTACTGACTTTCACAATGAGAAGTCTTCACAAACTTAGAACAATATTACAAGTTTACAAGTACATGCATGGGAAAGGATTGGGGGTGATACTAAAACAACAATATACAAACTGATTGTTTTTGTGTGTGCAGACTGTATGAAACCTTTGTTCTCACTGTGAAAAAAGTATCTATAGATGTTCCATAAAACCTGCAAAGCAACAATGTCTCCAATAATCTCTCTTTCTCTCTGAAAATCTAATGTCTGAGAGAGGGTGGAAGCCAAATTTACACACATGTAAAAAGCTAGTGATAATAATAATGCATTGGTTTTATAAAGCGCTTTTTAGGACACTCAAAATTCTGAAAAGCTTCACATGTCATTATTCTTTCACTCCAAACACAGTGGTAATAAGAGGTCTCCCATCATAGTACTAACCAGGCCCTGCCCTGCACAGCTACAGAGGTGTGGCCAGATATGGCTTTTGCATGCAGGTATGGCCACAATAGACACAAATTGGTCTGACTTAGTTTAAACTTCTATTTTTAGTGGTTTTTAAGCCTGTTCCAGCAGAAAACTGCTCTGGTTCAGAAAGTACCAATTATCTGGACACTTTGGGGGCACCTGCTTCCACTTCAAAAGTCTTACCGGAGATGGAGGGGGAGGGCAGACTGGGCGAGCCGTAGCCGTAGTCATTCACTCCAATTACCCTGAAGTCGTAGCTGACGCCCTGTTTGAGGATGTCCATGTTGAAGGTGTGAGAAGTGGCCTCTCGTGGGATGTCCTTAATCAGAATATCCCACAGTCCTTCGTCTGGAACAAAGGAGGAGAGATTATGTTAAAAATGTGGCGTTTCACAGTGGACTTGATCATCAGCGAGCGATAAGCGTGCACAAGATACACTCACAGTAAGGCGAGAACTCCCAGGGCAGTCAATTTGACGGCTTTTCATTTGGGAAGTGCAAGGACTCCGCTTATGTAAATATTTGGTTTTGGGACTTTTTCTGTATCTTTGTCAAGTTAATATGTTATTATGTTTATGAAATGATCTCGACCCTAGACTGGTCTTGGACTGGTTCAGAGTAATCTCAGCTTGGAGCAAGTGCTAGTTACCATAGCAACACACTGTTGAATTGTATCAGTTAGCTTCTAATGTTGCTGTAGATACTTCATATTAACCAGTTGTAGCATGTATTGAAAATAAAACGTATAAATGACTGAATTGTATTAAAAGCAGTGGAAAAACGACAACTTTTTTCAGAATTCCATTTATTTGAATGTTCTAGTTTTTTAAGAATTCTGGCAGCCCTTGTGGATAGGAAATTGACTTTTTGTTATCTCATCAAAACATTTAACATTATTATATATAAATATATTATATGATTATTACATTAAATTAAATATAAAATAAAAGTGAAAAGTTCATTTGTGCAATTTATTCATCTAGAATATTTATTAACCACGTCCAAACTTAATCAGAAATAAAAACTAAACCATTTGGACTTTCAGAATACATTCCGTTTTAACAAGCTCTTTGTTTGTGTGATAAAACCCAGGCCTCTGTCGGCAACTCGCAATTCATAATTCTCAGTGATATTAGCCAATTCATCAATTTCACAGCTTGCGTAAAATTTACAGCCACCAAATGTACGTCATAAATACTTGTAGGGTCATATTTCAACAGAACTAATGGTAGTTGTTCTGCCGCTGTGCTTTTTGGAATCGCAGCCAGAGTGCATTTATTACACAGGGGCGCTTGTAAACATCAATGTAAGTTTGACTTTTAATGGAGTATGGCGACATAAACAGTTCATCTGTCATGCCCGCTGCTGCCGACTTTTGGAAACTTGGGAAAGCACGGATAATTTTATCTGGAATAAGTTGTACTGTAAAAAAATCATCTTCTAACCCAGATTTAAAACAGAAACAGAGATGGTATTGGGGTTATTTATGTGGTTTATGGACATTTTTCATTCATCTCTTACCCAATCCAATCCACATTATTTACTGTATATAGCACATTGTATAAAACAACTTTACAAAGTGCTGCACAGAGATAAAAGTAACACATTTAAATATACAGGTTTGCCAACTCTATACGTCTCAAAACATAGAATAAGTAAAACACTATGTACAAAGTAAAAATAACTAAAATGTAATAACAACAATAAAATTCCAGTTCTTTGATCTGCGTTAGCGAATTGACAACTTTGTAAAGTCCTCTGAGAAGACTCATGTTGTGATTTAGGGCTATACAAAAGAGATAAGATAGACCTTTTTGATCTCACACTTGATACATTTACAAATTGCATTGAATTATCAATTGTAAAAATGGGGAGCTGGTTCTTGGCTGGATATATCGGGAAAACATGGAAATAATTGTGATATCGTTGTCACAAATGCTATATATTTCTTCCTCAAAATTCAATGTATTCTTGTATAGCCCTGAATTACAACACTAGTTATTTCGGAGGACTTAACAAAAATGTTGAGTTTGCCAACACAGATTGGAGAATCAAAAAGTTCAAACACAAGAAATGCAATGAGTAAAAAACACATAAAGCCATTGGTCCATAAGGGGCAAATGTCCATAAATGTCCACAAATGTTGATACATGTCCATAAATATTGTTGAATGTCGAGTGTCCTGGATCAGCGAGAAAAAAAAGAAAAAAACCCTGGGGGGAAAAAGTGAGAAACTTCGGTCGAAAGGGCAAAAGATCCAGGATTCAGGCTGCAATGTCAATCTTACAAAGTGAATTAAATGTGTTATAATGAGCCGTAGATAGAGTTGGTGATGTAGATTATACATTTATCGCAGGCAAATGCAAGTTACGTTCCCATTTGCATCGAGAAAACTGCTGCTGCATTTAGATTTTTCCTCCACATTCACTCCCATTTCACTTTGTCACCTCCTCCAATGATAATCCCCGGGCTTGACCCCTTCAATTAGCCCTGTCCATAAGTACCGAATCCCATCTCCCCGGTGAAAGTAATGTCATTCTTAAGCCTTTTAAACCCGGCCTGTTCCTGCCAATCACCAACGGCGCCACAATGCCATTTGTCTCTATCGCCGCGCAACGATCGATAACCCATTAACATTTCAGAGGCCGTAAAGACACCTTGTTGTAATCACATCGGTGTTGCAAAAAAAAAAAAAAAAAGAAACATAAAAATAATTTGTGAGTAAAGAAAAGTGGCTGTGAAAAATACGGACAGAGATGTTATTGTTGGAAAAATGAAGTTGAAAATCAAAGTGACAGGGGCGGCCATGTTTCTTTCATCCTTTATTAAGAAGAAAGCCGTGGGTCAGGCATCGTCGGTTTAACCACTCAGCGGAAGATTCTTGACGAAGATTAGTCTTTTTATCTGTCAATCACTTTAATGACTCTTGAAAAAAAAAGCTAATTGGGTAAAAACTTTGAATCTACTCTCAGATCGGCGCTGGAGTGCCCCAAATTTGTTATCAGCTTTTAATCACATCTCTTTGTCTGTTAATTATGGGAATACTTGATTGATTGGTAAAGTGGATATAGGTAAAAATATATCATTCATCACTTTTGAAAGGACAGTTCTCTTTTAATTCTAACTCTACTAACTCTACCTAAATTATGTGATTACTTAAAGGACCTCTTCATCACAATGTATACTAAAGAGTCTAAACCAGCTAGATATTACTTTAAACTGACCCACCACTGCACCCTGGGTACAAGAAATTGGAATCATGTATGTACAGTATAGGTCTCTGTTTGTGAGTTAAGATGTATTCCACAGTGGCCAGTGCTCACCTGACGGGCGAGCCTCGATGACGTAGCGCGTGATGGGTGCTCTTCCTGGATCCCCGCTGCTCCACTGGATGGTGAGAGCCGAACCATGACGGGTGATGAACGGTTCTCCGGGTGGTCCCGGGGCTCCTGGGCAACGGTAGCAGAACGACGAGTTATATCAGGGGTGTCAAACTGGTTCCAGAAAGGGCCGGTGTGGCTGCAGGTTTTCAGTCCAACCAAGCAGGAGCACACCGCACTCCAGATAGATCAGAGAGAGGGACTAGAGAATGCCCAAGGAGAGAGAACAGAAAAAGACCAGAGAGAGACCAGAGAGGGACCAGAGAGAGAGCAGAGAGAGAGACCATGAGAGAGAAAGACCAGATACACACCACACTCCACCCATTTTCTGGAGTGTGGTGTGCTCCTTCTTGGTTGAAATGAAAACCAGTTTCGAAGACCGGTTCGACACATATCAATAGAGAGTAACATGACATTATTTGAATAAACCAGTGAGTTGGTTTCATCAGATAAAAAAGCGCCGCACCTTCTCCTGGGCCGGTGGTGATGTTGGCCTCCACCTCCGGGCCGTAGATGAAGGTTTTGGCTCGGATCCTGAAGTTGTAGGTGGCGCCCTCGGCCAGGTCCCGGAGTTTGAGCCACAGAGGGCCGGTCCCCTTCACGTCCACGGTCACGGTCTTACTGACGCCCGGAGGGGAGGGCGAGTGCAGGCAGTCCCCACAGCCCACCGAGGAGTCTGCACGTGCAAAGAGCAGGATGTGGTCAAGCGGGACACGTCACTCATGTGCGTGCTCACACTTAAAAGACAGTGTTGATATTTTTCTCCTTTATTGAGCTCTGTCATAATTTAAATGCTCTGTACCTCTTTTTAGCTGCTCGTCTATGGGGACAATTGGCTTCTCTATCCTTATAACAAGTAAATAAATTAGTTTGGAAAATAGATGAGAGTTGCGAGTCATTCAAAACAATAATACATAATAATATCAAGGCATTCGTGGCCTGATTTAAACGCACAATTGCTGATGATAATAGTTATTTTTCTCACTCATATCCAAACATAATAAATTTTCATATTGCTCCAATAAAAGGTTCATTGACATTTACTATTATTCTATGGTGTAAAATGTATTATATATAAACGATATTGATTTTAGATTTGGAAGCAAACGAGACAAAATCTCTTGATCTTGTTGAGTTCTTGTCCCTTCCTTACTTTTACTGTTGGGGAGAATGCTTTGAAAATGTATTTAGGTACATAATACTAAAGAAGGGCATGAACATATCTTCTCTGACATGGTCCAATCATGCTCATTTGCATAATATAATGAATATGCTTTTTATGATTCTATGTGTTATTGTCCTCCTGTGGACTCACCACCTGCAAGAGGGTCAGTGAGGGGCTGGTGCTATGTGACTTGGGTGGCAGCTCTGACTGCCCCCGACCCAGAAATGGATTAAGGGGAAGAAAATGGATGGATGGATGGATGTGTTATTATACATAAGGGGTAAAACAAAAGGGTAAACACCAAGCACCCATGCACCACTTAAGATTTTTTTTCTTTTTAAAAAACTACTACAATTACCATTATTACTACAATTCTGTCCTTTACAGCTTAAACTGCGAGGTTTAATATTACATTGTATTTCTTAGATTTTTGTAAAGTAAAAATTCTGATTCTGGTAGATAGAGAAGAGTAGAAGTATTTGCTCCATCCAACCTCTTTTTGAACCAGGTCTATTTGTCTGTTTTATCGATACATGTGAAAATAATTAGTGTGCAGGATTGATAAAAAAAAAAAGTACCAGGACTGAATTTATTTACATGTTACCTCAACTTTGATTTGACCAGTTTGAAAAAGCAATCCAATTATCAAACCCATTCTTCATCAAATGTTCCCAGCATAAATATGTATACAAAACTATCCCTGACAACAGCTGATGTGTGGAAAAAGAAACTCCCAAGAGCATTCTGTACCTTGGACCGGCGTGGAGGGCTCGTAGATCAGACGGAAGCCTTCAATGATGCCGTTAGGGAAGGTGGGCTCTCCCCAGGACACGTTGACCGAGGTGGTGGTCAGCTCACTGAAGTGGATGAAGCTGGGGGCACTGGGCGCTACAACACAGGAGCACTACAAAGTTAGCAAAGATTCTCAAAAGAACTCTGTGTTCAGCAGCTTGATAGACTGCGAGAGAGAGGCCACGCTCACGGCCAGAACCCAGTCAATATAAAAACTTCACAGCGTTCCAATTAATAAAAGTTTGTTCCTTGTTTTTCTGCTGACGAATTGAGTGTGTAACATAATAAAAATAAAATAAAAATCCCTGGTAAGGCCTTTGCCATGCTGATTTGTTGCATGGATTATGTAGATCTGAATCAAATTTAAATTCAATATCTATTCGATTTTAATAGAGATGGTAGAATTATAGATCCAGAAAATGTGCTTGTTGATTTCCCTTCAAACAAAAAGGGTAGGAGCTTAATTACCTTAAATATTTGCCCAATAATTTACTAGTTTTGATTAATCATTTATTTTAACTAAATAAGCTTGTGTATTTTATCAAGTGAATGGTCTGCCATGTCTCATCGCCATATTTAAACCATTGCTTTGCCAATTTGCATCCTTTCAATTACAGTTTTTGTATGATATTAAGTAATGTTTATTAAAACCATAAAATATCTATTCAGAGCCTAGATACCTGGCATAATGTTTCCAAATTTCAGAATTTAACAACGTAACTTCTCCTAAACCTCATCTAAACCTGATAATACACAGTATACCAGTATATAGGTCATAATCTTCACCAACACATTCTGCAACAAAAAAATAAAAATAAATGAACACTAAATTGGGGAACAAAATAAGAAATAAATGTGTGATTTTGTCTTGTGACCCGTTTCAAGTATTATTATTATTTTTTGTCATTTTTTATTTTATTTCAGGCAAACACAGGAGCATAACAGTTGCTATTATCATAAAAACATACTTTTAACAAAATCCTATACTATGAAAGTTGCATCATTCAATAGCATCAATTCTGTTTCAACACATTGTTTATTAGTCTGGACAATCTCCGAGTTGAGCCAAGTTTCTGTCTATCCAGTTCTTTTATAGATTTCTCTCTTGCTCTCTTTTAGTTGTTTAGAAGAACCAAAATGAGACTCAGTATTTCTGTGCATTTTCACAAACGTCTCCCAGCACGGAGATGGAGATTTCTGATTAGAGAGCTTTGCGCCACGCGGTTAGGTTAACGTCATTTGGCACGCTGACAGCAACAATTAGCCTTGATTTTCTGTTGGATTCTTTCCCCGCTGTCGAAATCTCACAATGTTCTCCAGCCCGGTTATATAAAAGGTGACAAATGCATAAATAGTGTTATAAGTACCACATCAAATCGCTGCTAATCCATGTATTCAGGGTGCCTATAGGTTGTCTATAGATTAAGATTACGAGATCTTCTAATTGTCCTTACAGTGTTGCATCACAAGTTACAGAACAGTAGGAATGAGGGGCACACAACACAAAATAAATACAAATGATCTCTAAAATAAAATAAACTCTCTAACTTTAACATAAAAAGGAAGGAAGTCTAGGATTTTCTACTTCCTGGTGTATAATCAAGACTATTGGTCCTCCCGATTGTCAGTCAAGACCAGAGAGTTTTGTTCAAAAAGTGGAGATGGCGGCTCTATCCTAAAATTTGCGAAAATCTTTCTACAAAAAAACCCTGAACCCCGACATCTGTACACATAACATGTTAGCAGCACAATCCACTAATCCTGATTAGAATTTAATAGTTCTCAATACAGTTCAATTCAATAAAAAGATTAAAGGAGCTATACCCGATTCTGCAAGGTTTTTTTTTTTCAGTTTGAATGAGTAGCCCCACCCCTCACCACTTTACATGTCCTGAATTCATACATAAGCTGAATAAATGAACTCAATTTTTCCATTAAATTACAGTTTTTAATACAACATATATGTCGAACAATGCCTTTTTATGAACTCATTAGCAAATAAATCAGGTCACAACGGCAGTCGTCTCGGAGGAGTACACAAAGTTTGAATACAGGAAATACAATAATAACAAACACAAACAGAAGAAGCCATTGGTCCATAGGGGAATGGATTGACCAATGTCCATGACAGTTAAGAAAAACAGTATCTATACATGTCCTTACTGTAATACTATAAAACTGATATTATGTTAACGTTTTTTGAAATTTCCCCATTGAGGGACCAATACAACTTTATTATATCTTATCGTATCTTATCTTATGACAGCTAAGTATAGTAAAAAAAAAAGTGTTAAGTGTTCCCTTAACCTCCCTAATCTAGTATAGTATATCCAAAACAATGACATAGCTAGCTGTTCATACTTGCAACTGTATATAACAATCGTCCCATTTGTGTAGTAAGTACAAAATACCCCTGAGGCCAACATTCATCATGTGGCGTATTTATGAAAGCAGCCCAGTAATATATCTCCATTACAGCGCATATTAACGGTTCCCTTTTTTCCCCTCGACCCCCTGGCCCTCACCTGCTTGCTGAGTCCTTCCTCTGGTGGGGGGGCTTCGCGGTCCGTCCCCCGCGGCGTTGAAAGGAGCCACGCTGATCATGTAGGTGGTGTACCCCGTCAGGTTCTTCAGCTTGACCCCTCCCTCCGGCATGAAGAGCGTCCGCAATCTCTCCGTCTCGTTCTTGCGTTGAAATTCCCAGAAGTAAACCTACGTAGGGATAGATCGCGAGCGGTGAATACATATAAATGTGGATGTTATGGGACCAAAGTAGCTACCAGTGTTGTGCAATAAATCTCCAGCCTATTTCTGTCTCCCCGAAGGCAAAAACGCTGCTATTTCACTCTATTCCCCATAAACAGGCTTTAGAGTAATAGACTTTTATTATGGGCCCCAGTGGGAAACGGCACGGCTCGGATGTTTTAAGGTAAAAGAAGCACTTAATTTGTATTTGCAAATGAATACAGTCCCCGCAGGATGCTAATGGTATTTATGTCTACTTATTCCTGAAGTGCAATATTATCTTGGGTTGGCTTTATTTTCGGAGTCAAACCTTGTAGCCCTGAATGTCCCCGTTCTGGGCGTCCACAGGAGGCGGGTCCCACATCACGTCCAGCTGCGTGGCGGTGGCGGATTGGATGGCTACGTTTTGGGGCGGAGCTGTAGGGACTGAAGATAGAGAATGATATTTTAAATGCGTATAAGACGTCTTTATGTTTTTTCTTAATATGTTGATTTTTTTTTTTTTGTATTTGGAGAATACAAATCAAGACAAACAACAGACACATAAGCGTAACAAAAAAAAAAAAACAAAGGACAAAAGTAGATAATTAATTCATCTTAAAGTTTACATTTACACGTCGCAATTGAAAAAATATATATACTGTATATTTTCATGATTTGAACAAATCAGACTACAACCATGTCTTCATATATTAGAAAACATGTTATTTTTTTGGATTGCCATGAGAGTCACTATTTGACGCTTTGGGCTGAGAGCTGATTGGCTGAGCATGAGTGGTACTATTGCCTCTTAAATTTTCTGTCTAAAAAAGCCGTTCCAAAAAGTAAATACATGTGAAAATCCAAACTGACTTTGAGAGTATAGCTGTGCTGCGATGTATTGTTTTTAAATCCACTTGGACCATGTAATACCAATAATTGGCTTTAGATTATATATCAACGCCCTGAATAATATTCTTCTAATGTATTTATTTAGCATTTAAACACTCCTACGTGTCCTATAAAACGTGTTCTTATCTGAACACTAATTGGATCAAATACCAAGTCGTTGGGGAAAATTCTTTAGCTTTTCAACTTAATTTGTTTTAGGTCACAAATCATATTTGAATCATCACACAACTTGTTCAATGTAAAAAAAATAAAATGCTGAAGCTGCACTGTACCAGGACTAGTACCAAATAGATTACTAGATTCAAAAACTAACCATATCTAAATGAATGTACTTTTAGACAAAATAATGTGACAGAATGAAAAATAAAACCAAGCCTCAACATGGGCTGCATCCAATTTCATAAAAAAAAGAAATCCCTCTTTCCTTCTTTCCTTTTCATTCCTTGTGCGTTAAAATCTATAATTTAATCAGACAGGGAAGCTCCAAGCTGAAATGGAACCCATTTGTAAGATGTTTTTAATGGCACTTGTATCAAATGTCCTGGACTATTTTTAATAAACAGAAAGTGCTTTGTTTGGAGCATAGACTGGAGCGAGTTGACTCAAAACTTTGCCCATGAGCACTTTTCTATTAGGGTTCATGGAGCTAGGGGGCTTAGCATTGTCCATTGATATCCAGGTTATTGTTTGGATAGATGGAAAGTGGACCTGTCCGATTAGAAGCAGCCCACCTTGGATATCTTTAATCCTTTGCGATTTTTCCATGTGTATGTGTTTTGTTGGGCGGCTTCTTTATGTACATACCGGCCTCTCCGACGAAAACCTCGTGGGGTGGACTGCTCGGCCCTTCTCCCACCGCGTTGTACACAGACATCCGGATCTCATAGCGTTTGTGTTTGCTCAGCTCTGCGTCGAAAGTAAACAAGATGTCATGAGATACACGGGGCAAACTTAGAACGTAATTTCCTGCTGAGTATTAGCAAAACAAAACAAATAAACGAAGGACATTTTCAGTGCTAGAAATTCTCCATGACGTTTGTTAAACCCCAAACAAAGATACAATTGGGTAACTATTACTTGCATATACGCTACCTTAGCTAAATATAGCCATGTGTTTCAGCCACATAGGACTAAATGATGTATTATATCATAAATTATTATTTCACAATAGTCATAACATTGAGAAGACAAAATGATAATAATAACAATAATAAGTCATCAGTTGTATATATTGCTTTGCTGGACACTCAAAGATACTGCACATGCCATTGTTCATTCACTCTATACGCAGTGGGGATCAACTACTACTGTAGCCACAGCTGCCCTGAGGCACACTGACAGAAGCAAGGCAACCAGTCTGTGCCATCGGCCTCTCCGACCACCACCAATCATTCACACACACACCAGACTCAATCTAATGTGGGTGATGTGTCTTGCCTAAGGACACAACGACAGGCTGGCACTGTACAGCCGTAACCGTCCCCCCTGTACACGATATACTATCACAGTATCACAATCTACCCACAGAATAGTAAGTAAAAATGTTTGTTCACGGAACACACAAAACGCTTTGAAATTTGGTGTCATAATAAAGTTGAAGGATAGGTCCGTGTTTCTCGGTATAATACGGGGATGTACAATTGTAAAAGTTCTTATTCAAAAGATCTTATTCTTATGTTTGAGCTCTGTAGCCATCTGTTTTGTTCAATCTCACTAAAACTAAAACAAAAAATTGGCGTCCAAGTTCCTCAGTGTTTCAGCTCGCCTTGGCCTTGGGAAATGTGTTCCTATTATTGTGGTTTACTCAGCCAAATGTTTTTCTTAGTGCAACGCTTACAACATATGGTCAGACACGAAAAAATAACTCATCTGGGGAACACCATTGTTGCTTTGTGTTTGCGGGCGCTACTTACTGTCCAACTCGAATTGCGTCATGGTTGGATCGCTCAGATTCCGGATACTGTACGGAGCTGAGGGAAGAGGCAAAGTAAAGGGAGATGATGTCAAAAAAAATAATTCATATCTTTGTTATTACTGAGTGTACTCTATCTCAGACAAAGTGGAGTACAAAGGAGATTAGCCACTCAACAGGCACATACGTATATCCCCATCGCTGTCAGACTGCACAATAAGTCACTTTGATGACCTGCACTAGGACGGAGAAACTGGCACTGATATAGTCACTTTTAATGTTATTGTACATAATATATCTCGAACAAAAGACACTATATTTTAACCTTTCTAACATGTATTTTTGCACATCCTGGGTGATTCTATCTATTCGATTTGTGACATGTAAATTTGACATAAGACATAAAGTTAACTGGAGTTCTGAGATTCTGACCTTAGATATATACTGTATACATGACTATATAGGTGTGGCTGAAGTTGGCTTAAAGACACTGTGAAGGTACCTCAATGGCCACTTTGTATTAACAAGCCAGAGGGCCTCATAACATTTTAGCTTTAGTTTGGACATTCCTGGCCCAGAGAATTATTAAGACCGGTAAAGACTTTGCTAACGGCTGCCCTTGAACGAACCAAATAACAGATGTAAGTGTATTGTTTTTCACCATAGAATGAAACAGCGGTGACATTTTTCAACTGCACAGGCTGTTGTTGTGAGTTGTGAAGAACAGGACTAAAAGGCAGCAATCCAAATCATCTCAAAGGTGCTCGATCGATGACATTTGGTTGGATTTTCGGCATACCTACATTAGTTTCTCCTTTATAGAGATATGTGTGGTGTTTTTACTTTAAAAAGGTAAGCGTGTGATTGGAGCCGAGTTGCAATGCTAACCTTCACTTTGCAACCGTGTGTAGTGCTTATTCATAAAAAAAAGGTTTGGAGCCAAAACTTACAGAAATGTACAGTGTTGACCCTAGTAAGTAAGTAAGTAAGTAATCTTTATTTATATACCGCCTTTCACAGACCAGAGTCACAAAGCGGTTAACAATTGTTATTATTTTTGGGCACTTGTCTCTCACTCCACACAGAGATGGGAGCGGGGTCGCCGAACAGGAGGCACATGCCAGACCTATTGTACATATTTTTAGTGGTAGGGGAAACTGGAGCACCCGGAGGAAACCGGAGCACCCGGAGGAAACCGGAGCACCCGGAGGAAACCTACGCAGACACGGGGAGAACATGCAAACTCCACTCAGAAAGGCCCTGGTCCGACCGGGATTCGAACCCAGGACCTTCTTGCTGAGAGGCGAGAGTGCTATCCACCCTATACCATACAATACAGTGGCTTGCCAAAGTGCTAATGCAAGTTGAACTTCTGTACAATTGTTCGTTTTTTTTGTTACTTTTGTTGTTGTTGAAGGGACATAACAACTGTGGAGTGAAAGCAGATTCATGCATGGTTTTGTGATGAACAATAAAGTAAAACAAATAAAAAACACACTAGGAAATATGGAAAAGTGGCTTGTTTTGTTTTCACCTCACATTGTCAGTTACCTTTTAGTGGTCTTTAAAAAAAACGCACAAAAGTTCAAGTTTTAAAGCTTTACTTTAGCAAGCCACTGTACATACTGTATTCCCAGCTATGTATCAACTCTCACCAATAAAAAAAATACATAATATTGCCTTGATATGTGATTTACAACATGCAGTATATGTGTATGTTAATGCATTAAAAAATGTATTGGTCCCACGGGGAAATCCAGTATTCTCCCTAAATTGGGTTTCCTTTCCAGAAACTTGGCTTGTAACTGACCTGTAACCAATCGCTAACAAAATATGAGTCCAACACAAAGAGGATTATACAAGTGCCTCCAAACTATTTTATCGAAATGTGCAATGTTGTGAATGCAGCCTTATTGCATGTCTTTTTATAGCTTCACTTTCTGTTCTATACGGTTGTTTAAGTCCACACAATTGCTGTAATCACTCCTCCGGCGAGGAATGACGCAACGAGAGCCTAAATTATAGCTCTGTTACAGCGAGCAACGAAACAGAACTCCCCGGTAGAACTAATAACAGCCTGCAGCCCACAGCTACTGATCTCAAGATGAAATGTTTTGCTGAAAAGTGTCAAGGCCGGCGGGGAATTGTGGAAGCAGAATGAGGTTGTGTGAAAGTTGGGCTTTGATGGAGATAATGGGGCCGCTTGACAAATAAAGAGGCTGTGTCGGGATAATGATCAGCAATGATGAACCCCTTCCAACTCTGCTGTGCAATTCCCAAAATCACAAGTGTATATTTGCGCCACAAAATACAGCCGTGTAAATCGTGGACATCTTAAACTTCAATACTGGCAAAACAACTCGCATTTGTACTTGACGGACTACAATTTTGAATGTCTTACACCATAAACTTCCAACTGTCATTACACAGGACACATTATGCGACTGGAATACTTGAGGACGAAACAGGATATGGTTTTGAAAAATGTATTAGGTACAGACTTGGAACCGGCTTTGTAAATGTATTCGTGCACACAAAGCTGAAAAATGAATCCAATTTGTTTGAGAGAATTGTAATGTTGGTGTCAGGCCTGATGGTGACGCTGGGAGGTTGCGACAGGAAACACCAAATTTGACCACCAAATCTCCCCTTACTAATTAATAAATAACATTGCTAACTTTGAGCTGACACACACTTAAGCTGACACACACTTTGAGCAAGATACAAGAGGAGGCCTTTTCTTCAGATTTGACTATACATGAAGAGAAACATTTTTCATGGACTTATTCTTCAAACAGAGACTTGAATAACTCACAAACTGTTGGATGTATTTATATATTTTCTCCCTGAGACTTATGGCAATGGAGGATCCTATGTTTCAGGTTGGTTCAGGACATAGACTGAGTCCAGAGATGCAGCAGTGATGTCATTGTGTTGAAAAAGATCTGTATTTGATGTAAACACAGATAAGATAAGTTAACCTTTTTCGTCCCACAGTGGGGAAATTTCAGAGATGCATATTCAGCGATTTCAAACTTCTCTACTCTGGGACCAGGTTTCAAAAACATTTGTGTACGCTTTGCAGAATCACCAACTCTGTGTATTATTGCCTAATACTTTTGCTGATAAGACTGAAATCGCCTCCGGCTTTGTTAAGACTTTGTTAAAAACACATTTTTCTTTGGCTTTTCCCACAAACTAACCTAAGTCATGATTTTTTGTTTTTCATGTATGTTATATTCATTTTGTTTTTATGCTGTTTTATTGCGTAATCTCAACTTTGACAACCACACTATTCCATCTATAATTATGAATATATTGGATCGTTACAGCTCAATGACCATCAGCAAGAATAAAAAAAACAATGTTTGCAAATATGTACCATTAAGTTCAGCCCAGGACGAGGACGTGGCGATACTACGAATGGAGTAACCACGGAGACGGTCGTACAACAGCTCTCGGTATCGAATGCGGAACCCCAGGAGGATCCCATTGATCTTCTCCTCAGCCGGGCGCTAGGGGAAACAGAGAAAAATAACTAAAACCACCTTAAAGCTGGGGTACCTAACTTTTTTTTAATCATAAATAAATAATTGCATGCTGTTTGTCCCATGAGATAGAGTAGCATGTGAACAAACCAAACCACAACTGCTGACATTGTCTTAGTACATCACATGGGTCCTATTTCATACCTATAAGCGAGAGCCCTAGGAGTCACTTTTTGACATTTTATGCTAAAAGCTGATTTGCTGAGTGAAGGTGCTGCTTTTCACTTTTATAAGAGAGGCCACAAACATACTGTGATGGTGATGGAACCAAACTGTTAGGAGAGCAAGGAACTATATGCATTTGATTACTGTTTAAATCTGCAGCAGTTTGAAAGTTAGGTTCTCCAGCTTGAATAACATCAAGCTGTGCAAGTGAAGACAAGTTTCTTCCTTTTGCATGCTGTTTGTACTTGCCAGCATTTTACTGTAAATAGGGCCATAAATCTAAAAAAACATAATAACCTATCTCCTCTCCACAAGAGACTGAAAAAGACGTTACGTTGACTGTGTGAGCGTGCCCAGAGGCGACCCATGGACTGAAAAAACAAGTGCTTGTCTATGTATGCTTATAACTCTACAAGCGTTTCCCATAAAAACGTTCCATTGTGGCTCTAAGCGTTCTATTTTATGATGTGCTAATTCAGGTGTGAGACTTTTTATTACGCTCCTAGGATGTAAGCGAAAGTGCATTTTGTGTCATCTGCAGCCTGCCATTACAGTCAGATCTTTCATCTTTCTTCATATCTCCCACAATGAAACCCCATTTGTGAATATTTTTATCTTTAGTGGTTTTTTTCTTACCTGCCAGCGGATAAGCACGGACGTGGTTGTGTGTGGCGTGACAGACAGGATGGTGGGAGCTTCGTCTGGCGCTGTAGGGCAATAGAAGAGATGAATGAGCTAAATTGACCGGAAAATGTGCACGACTTAAGATGCTTAATCTGGCAGTGTGCGCTGGCATTCATGGTAAGTAAACAAACAATACCGCACAGAAAAGCCAGCGGTTGTGGCTCTTCGCTGACACAAAGACATAAGCCTTGAAAACAAAATATAAGAAAGACGTGAACCCATACACTAAATGTATTTCCATCTGGAGAGACTCAAACAGACAAAACATGGGTATTAGAATTGTATGTCGTTTGGCAAGTAGGAGTACAGAATGTAGTTAGGATTCGGCGCATAGACCTCAGCAGAGCACTCCATGATTGCAGAAGGAGAAAGCGATTATGCAATGAAATCCCCCGGGGCCTAGACCCTGGTGGTGGGAGCTAGGAGAAGGATGGAGGAGCTGGTCTAGAATGTGGCGGAGGTGGGGAGGAGGAGGGTTGTGGCATGAATGAACCAGCGGCTTGAATGGAGCATCTGTGCATTATGAAGCAGATGCGAGCAGTGCCTGATTGCTGCAGGTGGGGATTTGTGTGTGATTGACTGATTGCTGTTGGCAACAGGAGGAGGACTTTGAGCGCTGTGGCTTAGTTCGCCTATCTTTCAGTCTGAATTTGCGCTTAAGCTTCATATTTAAATTGGTGTGATGTAGACAAGACAAAAAACTGATGAATAGCAAAGTAATATTCATTCTAAATTTAAATAATCTCATGTATTAGCCAGTGTATATACGTTTGTCCGAGTAGAAGATTTGGAAACATCTTTTGTCTTGTTGTGCGGCGACAAAACAATGATTACAAAACCCGCATTCTAAGCTGGTTCCTTTTTATGTCTTAAATGTACTATTAATCAATTAAAAAGTAAATAGGTGGCACCCTTAGTTTGCTGAAGCCTTGATGCTCTTCATCAAAATGTCTCAAAATATTCTAAATGATCACGAGTATCTATCAATCTAAGAATTTATCCTGCAGATGCTTTTGAAAAGAACAATAAATGATGTAATCAACAAAGAAATACAGTATGTAAATAAATTGACCAGTGTCTTCAGGCTTCAGCTGTATGCCAACCAAACTTCCCTTCAATTTGCAGCAAAAAAGTATTGGCATCAATTCTGATGAAGCCATTGTTGCTTGGTGGTTATGGTAACTCTTTGACGTATATTGATAATGATTTTTTTTTTCTAAGCAGCCCATCTGTTCATCCTCATCTTTCCTCTCACTTTCCTCTAATAATTTCTTATAGCTTTAAAATGTTATTCCAAATTTTGTCATCTGCTCATTTTGTTAACCGTTCCCTTATGAGCGTCCTACATGCATTAGAAAAAAATAAAAATAAAAACGACATGAATTGAGGCGGACACAGCAGCTGGGTCGAGCAATTATGGTGGGATATGACAGCGGTGGGTAAAACAGCCGGATTTGCCAACGGCTTTTTTTTGGGGCTCTTGTATCACGGCAACAGCAGATGGTGATCACATGACATCACCTTTGGACGGAGCCAGCAGTGTGGTGAACAGAGGACCGTGTCATCCCGGTTCAGAGGGGCCTCCAAATAAACCGTGTCCTGAGCCATGGATCTAAAAGGTAAGCGCACCGGCGGGATAGCCCCAGGCGCGCAGGTAATGTAGGTCAAGCTGCTTTTTCCACAATGAAACAACAACAGAAGGTTTTTTTTGGGAGTATTTTTGGTTTTGAGGAATGGACAATGCCGTGAGGAATTTGTGGTGTGAAATTGAGTGGAGTGAAAAAAGACTTTTCACAAATATCAGGATAGGAGTACAGATGAAAGAAGCGACATCCACAAAAACCATACTTTTGGACCTGAAAAGTGGGCAAGCTTGCAGGTTCCAGAAGTCTAATTTTCCATACAAAATCCCCATAGGAGTTTTGAAAAATCCAAATAAAAGACAAGAGTTTTAATAGACCAGGTCTAAATAGCTGAGTCATAACTAGAATGTTATTTTCAGGCCAAAAAGCACAATACAATCTTCAGATTCAAATTGTGTGAAATGTTTCTCTTTGTGTTTTTTTTAAACATTTAAAAACATGCTTTATACATAACTATATAGATCTTGAGCCCCGAACAAGTTTTCTACGTTTTATAATGATTTTTCTTAAACCCTATGGAGATTTTAAATTTCACTCTCAGAACCTGCTAGCCTTTCCAGCTTCATGAGCACTTTCTTTCAATTGGTTTATCCGGCACCATGAAATAATAAACACAGAAGCATCTCAATAGGGGTTAAATGCAAGTGCAGCCGGTTTTTATTATCAACAATAGGACTAATATTCGATGTAATTGCAAGCCCATACCACCTATGATTATGTCTATAATACAGTAGCAGAATCAATAGGCCGCAGACATAAAAAGACATAAGGTTAGATCACCTACTGCAGAAAACCAAAGGAAGTTGAATTCAGAGATTTAGTGTTCTCTACAACATGATAAGCAAAAGTGTTTCTTACCGTCTTGTAGCGTGGTGATGGCCTCGCTCTCCTCGCTGTACTCGCTGTCCCCTATGTCATTTGTGGCTTTGATTCTGAACTGGTAGGATGTGAATGGCTTCAGTCTGTGAGGATTATACAAATATGATCAACAAACTCATATTTCATACCGTCTTAGAACAATGTCATTTTTGTCTGTCAATCACTGGCTTTCTTGTCTTTTTCTCCTTGTCCTCAGGGTTTGACAACTTTTGGATGTCGAAAAATTTAAAGTACACATAGACCGGCCCATATATATTGGTTTAGTATGATGACATTGATGTTATTCCCAATTTTCACCAGGGCACGCAATGTTGGCGTAACATGAAACGTGTGTGATTGTGAAAGCGACCTCCTCCCCACAGTGATTTGCAATGTTAACATGTACAAAATAGCTTGTCATACACACGTTTTTCACTACTGGTCCAAATTGTCAGGCTCAATACAATGAAAAGCTATTCTTGGTTATAACCTGCATGTCCATGTTTACGCGCCGTAGATGCTTGGTGTAAATCGGGGGAAACTTGTCACAACTTTCATGTCTGTGGCACAATGATTCAAACCACTTACTTGGACACGGTGTAGGAGGAGGCCTCATGGTTGACGGAGGCAGAGTGCACAGTCCAGTTGTTTTCGGGGAGTTCCCTGAGCTGTACCGTGTAATAGCGGACAGGGGAAAGGCCGTCGCTGCCCGGCTCCCAAGTCATCAGCACCTGCCGAGCCGAGACGTTCCTTTGAGGCACCATGGGGCGACTTGTGGGCTGAGGTCGGGCTAACAGGGGGCACAAGGTGAGAGAATGTTAAGCATGGGACAAGATCTACCACAAGGTAATGTTTGGATTCAGATTTGGGTTGGGGTATTTATATTACGTTAAATGAATGAGCTGAGTTTGGCTCATAATGAGAAACCCTATACCCATGCAATGCAAGATAGAACCTGTAAGGTGGTCAGGGTTAGGGTTAGTCTGATACCTGCTTCTTTAATCAAAATTTGACTCTGTATGGTTCAAAACATGTACGTACATTTTTCAATTATGGATGAGTGAAAAGACTTGCCTCTCCACTGAAGTCACATGCTTGTTTACGAGATTAAAGGAAAACTGTATCATTGTTCAGGCAAAGCTCCACTTTAGATGAACCCAAGCAACAAGCTGACCCTCTATCAGGAAAGTTGTAAAATACAACTTTAAAATTATGGCAATAGTTAGGTCTAAGCTTTGTAGAACGTTGCTTTCATTGATTTATCCAGTGAGTGTATAGAATTTGTTCCAGTAATAAGATATGGTAAATATGTCATTCTTATGGAAAATCTCAAGTTTCATCTCACAAAAATTCTCATCCCATCACTAGAAATTATTATCAATATCCACATTTGTTATGTTAAGGAAAGTGTATTGCAAGCCTTTCCTTTCTGCTGTTGTCAGAGTATACAAGGAACCCTGACAGATAAAATGTACAATATGATGGAACAAAAACAGGACCTTTTAAGACTGCATTCAGACAAAGCTGGGCACCCAATGCAAACTCCCTTTACTTATTCTTTACTTACTCGAGGGTGGATAAGAATTAAATTAAAAATGGGAACGGCAAGATCAAACAATTCACCAAATAAAACAAGAGAGAAAAAAGATGGAAGGCCCACCATAAATACGTCTGACAGCAAATCAAATGTTTTTTTTTTTTTTTGAAGATATCAGCGGGACGATTTGAAAGGGAAAAAAGAGAAATAACCCAAAATATAAACTTCCACCTTTTGACTTTTATTTGCATATAGGCTGCATATTGTGGACCGAAAAGTGATCTTGATGAATGAGAAGTAGCAAAAGAAAAATGGAAGTTGCAGAATAAACAATATGAAATGTGGCTTCAGGGGAGGCAGATGGATTGATTCACGCTCACACCGGCATCTGAGTGTTACGGATAAACACCCACAGGGCAATGAGAAAGCTTAGAAAATACATTTGCAAACCGATTGTTGTAGACAAGTCGTGCTTTTGTATTCAGATCTCCACCTGCGTATGCACTCAAACAGCAAGTCAACAAATGCTATTTATGTCTATTACTGAGCAAAGATCTTTTGCAAGTTATTAAGAAGATCTCTGAAGTAATGTTGTAAAGTGCAAGATGGAAATGTCAACTGAAGGTGTTGGAAGTGAAGTGGATTCACCTTAACTCGGATAGTTTGTGAATAAACATTCTCACTGCTGTGCTTTGACAAAGACATCAAGGACTACGAGTCTCGGCTTTGTATGAGAGGAAATCAATGTTTTTTCTTGACTTATAAGTAGTTTCATGTAAGAACAGATATGCAGTATATGTTTCAGTTTTATATAATTCTTCTTAAAACACATCTCAGGTACAGCAGTAGCACAAAGCCATCTACTCGTGACTTGCATTGGTAAGCACATGCAGGCTTAATGATAGAGTTATTAACATATTCATGGAGTTAGAACTCCTTCCTGCCTCTCATTCCAACTCTCGGACCAACTCAACACTTTTTTCCCCACAACAAAGGTCACACCCTAGATCAGTTTAATTACCCCTTTTCTCAGTAGTGACCACCAGAGCCTCCGCAGACTCCCCCCAGCCTTTCCTGGTCTGGGCTGTGATGCGGAACACGTAGACGGACTCGGGTTTGAGGCTTGTGACTGTGTACTGGCGAGCGCTGGGGTTCAGGACGTCCACTGTTGCTCCGTTACTGTTGGTGGAGTTCAGCTGGTAGGTGATCTGGTAGGCTGCACAAGAGACATTCACAAATTTGTTAAGATTTCTAAACTTTCAATTTTTGATAAACATTGTGTCTTTGCTGATCCAGTCATGATTATTTTCTCTCTGACCACAAATGACTTTTGTTACAGTAATACAAATCAAAATTGTGATGGTGGCTCCATACATTTTGCCCAATATTGTTTCTGAATATGTATAACACGCAAATATTTCAACTCATTCTTTTTTTGCCATTTACCAATGGCAAAACATGTAACTTAATTTCGTCTGATCATAAAGCCATGTGGCTGAGTTTCCAACTTGTGCTAGGAAATGTTCTCTCTCTCTTCACCATTGCAAAAGTAACAATCTCTACAATATCTAAACATCACCTTCATGAGGGAAAAGACTTCAAACTCAAATATGTTACTATGATTCTTCTAGAACTAGTATAAACTGCATTACGGAAAAAGTTTATAGTTTATAGTAAAGTTTATATATAAAAATAAAGAGAGTACTTTATAGTAATTGACATACTATTACTAAAAAACTTGCTTGGCTGCGCAGTGAAAGCACGCCGGGATTGACCTCATAATTTCAAGTCTCCTCGTAAATCGACACAAATTGCGCCTATGGGTCCAGGGCTGTATTAAAGTCCAATAAGCGAGCCTTTGAGTATTCCAGCGTGAGAGGTTTAAGAGCCTAACACGTCTTGGGAGAATATAAAATCACAGCAAAATGACTGTGAAGGCTGCATACCAAGAATAATGCCATTGGGTTGTGACGGGGACTGCCAAATGAGACGCACTGAAGTGGTCCTCACTTCGGGAAACAGGATCCCCACCGGAGGCCCAGGCACTGAGGGAGAACAGGACACAACGAAGTCAAGTAGTTGTAACTTAAACAATTTGGCGTTTTGAGTGAATGGACATGGATGAATGGATATAAAAACATTAAAAAGTTGAAGAGAGGTTTTGAATTTTAGATTTAACTAACTTTGAAACCACAAAAAAGGAACTAGGCAATACTACTATTACTGGCTTTAAAACAATTTGGTTTTTTCACTAGTTTTCACATAGTTTGCATATATTTACGTAGATATTACACATTTTTGGCCTCTACTGTTTCATCTTTCCTTAAAAGTTGCCAGCATGTTGCGGTTGATTTTTTTTTTCTGTTAAGACAAAAAACAAGACATATTTATGAAACAAAAAGTTAGGGACCTGAGCTTTAAGTAATCTGAATCGTGATTAGGAGACAACAGCGACAGACAATCAGTCACCAGCAAGTAATGTGAGAGCCTACTGTGAAAGCATTAGCAATTGTCTTAAAGCATTACCATATGCTAAGGCAATTGTAACTTTTTATTAATGTTACATGGCATTTACATAATCACAATTCATTATTCAAATGTGCTGCTTTCAAGTGTTGTTTCTCTGTCTGCATTTTAATTTGGCTAATACTTTGTTTCGTATAGGATTTCTTCACACATCGTTCTCACAGTCTGGTGTGTCGGATGAGGTGTCAGTGCATTAATAAAATCCAAAAGATGCCGCATACTGTTATACTGGCATGGTGACATTTACATTGTTCAAATATCTTTATTCACAGAGGCTGGGGAAAATAAAAGAGAATGTTTTGACCTTTATTTGATTTTGAAATGTGCTATATTTCTAGGCAGAGCTGCACTTATATTTTAACATACATAGAGGAGAGGTCAATTTAGTGCGACCACTGGTGCCGTTTAGAGGACAAATTGCAAATAACTTTTTATTTTTTTATTTTTTATATCAATTTATAGGCCTATTTTCTCCGCCATTATGCATTTCAATCTTGCTAACATCGAACAGTTTATTTTGCAAGATAATTAAACATTTGGATGATCTGAAGTTGCCCTAATGATGAACACTCTCTATATAAAACTATATGTCACATTTGTATAATGCCAGGAGTATAGCTGGCTAGATGATAATATGAATTTAGCATAATCGTTTTTGGACAAGCATGGATTGTAATATTTATGATTTAGAGCTTTGAAATGAGGCAAAGTTTGTCAAAATGTTTCGGTGACTGAGTAACTTTTTATGAAAAAATAGTCAAAAATTGGTGGAATCGGGCGACAAACCGATATATTAGTAATTTTATTTGCTTTGTTTTATTATCGTGTATTCAGCACTTTATAGATGTTCAAAATACATTTCTGATATACAGAGTCACATGTCCTGAAATCCTCGGGGAAGACCCAAGACCTATGTGTCTCAGCTGGCCTGGTAACGCCTCAGGATTCCCCCAGATGAGCAGGAGGATAGGGAAGTCTGGGGGCCATAAAGTGGAAGAAACTGGATTGATGGATGGATGGACAGTAAGCCACATCACTATACCATCGTCCAGGGTCCTCTCTAGAATCGGTGGGGAGCTGGGTCGTCCGTCTCCGATGCGCGTAAAAGCCTGGACTTGGATCTCGTAGAGCACGTATTTCCCCAGACCGGTGAGCAGTACGGTGTGGGTGGCGTTGCCCTCAACTGTCCAGAAATGTACCCCATTATCTGAGTCCTTTTCTTTGTAAACCACCTAGAAAAACCAACAGAAAGCACATATACTGTACAGTCAACTCAGAGGGAAAGCAGCGACCGAGATGCATTTCTGGGATAAATTAAAAGTTGTTTTGAGAGATGAAACGCTGCAGACTTCTTACACAGACCTTATAGCCCAGGATAAGGCCGTTCCTGTCGGGTTCGGGGACTTCAAACCATCGCACCAGGATGCTGCTGGATGTCGTGGCGAAGGCAGAGACGTTGGTGGGACCGCACGAGGGGACTGGCAAACAAAGATGAGACACATTATGCTTTCTGATGTCAGGATTTGGTTTTTGAAGCTGGAGGAAGTCAAGTCAGTCTGCAGAAATGTATATGTTTTTGCAGAGAAAATGTGGAAATTAAGAAGAAAAGAACTTCTAAATAATGCATCGTACTTGTATAGAGTTTTTTGCGGCGCTCAAAGACGCTCCACATGGCATTATTCATTCAGTCCGTATACTGCGGTGGTAAATTACTGCTTTAGCCTCAGATGCCTTGAGGTAGACTGACAGAAGCAAGGCTATTTATCAGTGCCATTGGCCCTTTCGTCCACCACCAATCATTCACTCACAAACCAGACTCTTACAAGGCAATATGTGTCTTGCCTACGGACACAACAACAGTTTGAAAATGTACTGCTGCAGCCGCCCCACTGTGGCACCTAGAGGTCTCCCATCACAGTAAGCTATAAATAAACATTTAGTTTGGCATTTGACATAGAATTAAAACTCCAAAAATAATGTTTCTTTATTTCTGTAATTGTGTAACTTAAAATGTGACCAGGGTTAAGATAAGATAAGATAGACTTTATTGATCTCAGACAGAAGAAATTTACAGGAATATATTTGATTACCTATACAGTTAACAATACAATACGGACATGAATATAGTATTAAATGTCTTGAATACGTTGAGAGTTATGTATATAACTAAGGTTCTATGAATTCCGAATGACTGCCAGAGTATGTTAATATACGGTAGTTCAGCCTCATTAGAAAAGTAAGGCTACATAGCTACATTACTACTACACAGACCTCTGGAGCTGTGCAGGGCAGGGCCTGGTTAGTACTGTGATGGGAGACCTTTGGGAACACCAGGTGCTACAGTGGGGCAGCTGCGGTGCGGAACTCTTGTTGTGTCCTTCATAGACACTTCACCCACATTGCCTAGAATGAGTCTGGTGTGTGCGTGAATGGTTGGTGGTGGTCGGAGGGGCTGATAGCACATACTGGTCGTCTCTCTTCTGTCAGTGTGCCCCAGGACAGCTGTGGCCACAGTGGTAGTTCATCACAACAGTGTATGGAGAGAATACATGTGTCAAGTATCGTTGAGTGTCCTGAAAAGCGCTTTATAAATTGATGCATTATTATTATTATTCTCCACATTAGCAACCTCAAGCTTCATAAAGTACATTTATTTAACAGGGACAGTACAATTTACCACCGATAGTTAACCAATGTCCTCGGCTTATAGCTACAGGCTACAGGCAACCCCTCAGCAAAATCAGTTTTCAGGTGCTGTTAGTTTAATGATTCATTACTTGTATAAGTTGGTTCCACAAAGATTTCACATTGAAATGCTGTTCTGCATTGCCATACTTGTATATATTTGCATAACTTATGTCATATATCCAGAGGCTTAGGAGTTTAAGAGCAAAGAATCTTTTTTTTGTGCACTAAAAATAAGAATAAGAATAAAGAATAGTCCTTTCTCTGCCCAAGAGCTCATCACATAAAGCAGAAAAAAGAAAAACGGCTTGGAATTCAAACTTTCGCATCCATGTGTTCCTAATTTCCGCACTGCTTCCATTCCTTGCTACTCACGGCGTCTGGCACCAAGGGAGAAAAAATGGGGCTGTTGAAAAAGAGCCAGCAAACCAACTGCGAAGGTCCTCACAGTCATGAATAAAACATATGGCCCAGTCTCAAAGATATGAGTAATAATCTAGATGGACCAAGGTGTTAGGAATGTATTAACATGTTTTTTTACTTGGGAAAGAGTATTTAGCAATTTTTCAAGGGTTGGTGTGCGACTGTTTGCTATTTTACTGTAACTCCTCCGTCAATTAAAACATGCTATAGTTCAAAAATGACAATTGGCTTACTTTAGGCTCGCACAAAGTTTGGGAACGGTGAGGAGGACTCTTACTCCAATAAGTTTGCAAGAATTATGATAACTAGATTGACCAGAAGACATACATAGCAGACCGAGAAGAACCAAAAGCGTAACACCATACATTGGTCCAATCCCCAGGAAGTATAGTTTAAGCTGGATACTGTTTCAATATTCTCTTACTTGTATTTACTTGAATTACTTGTATGACAATCATAATTTGAGGGCTTTTGTGACATAAGTTTGCAACATAGTCAGCTATAATTATTTCAGTTGCAGTGCAGAAAAGTCTCACAAGATGAATTGCCATAAGATTGTGCCCATACATGCAATGGGACTCAAGGAACTCCGGAGATTTTCTATGTTTACATTTGGCTTGGACATTTAGGAAAGTGGTGGTGTTCAAAAACAGCTAAGATAAATCAAAAAACTTATCTCTGCCCATTCCAAACCACTACTGTTAAAATCTGCAAAGATAAATACAATAAACAGCAGATACTACGTCCTATTAAGAATGTTTTAATTTTCGTTGATTTTTTTAGCACTGGTATGATCTTACCGGACTCCCTGGTTCTTCCCCGGACCGGCTGGCTCCAAGGACCGGTCCCGATGCCGTTGATGGCCTGGACGCGGACCTCGTACTCGGTCCACTCTTCCAGGTCCTCGATGGTGAACTCTCGCTCCAGACGGTCTGCAATCACGTGGGTCAGAGCGCGTCCCAGAGCTCCCGCCCGTGAGTACTGGATCCGGTACCCGACCAGCTCCGGGTTTCCATTGTACTCCCACTCTGGTAATGGCTATGGAGGCAAAGAGAGGAACGCAATGATTATGTCTGAGAGGGAAGGATCCATAGAAATAAGAATAAAATCACTTTTCATTGACATATACAAAATCTTTTTGATTTTCCATCTCAAAAAACAGACCTGGAATTGCTCTTGGATCCGTCCACAGTAATATCAGGAACTTCTGGCACAAACCGTACATGTAACTCTGCCCCTTTTGTCTGGCAATTTCTCAATATTACTGTCTTTGCAATCTGATGACTGTGGTTGCAACCAGTAATTTTCAAATGTGAAAAATTCTCCATATATTTTGTACTGAATATATTGTTTCTCATAAAACATAAAATATCACTCAGCAACATAAATAGTCTTGAATGGTGAAAAATTAAAGCTGGGGTTCCTAATCCTGTCACTAAGTGACCCCCCACTTCTTCAGACACAGAAGTTCAAAAGTGCCACCCTCAACCAACCAACTCTCGTCCATTTTGGCATAGCATGTTGAGGTCTGATTGGATTGTTAAACATATTTTACTTTTACAATATTACATCTATTGGAACAAACAAAATACATTATTCATGAAAAGGTACCCCAGCTTTAAGTGTCTATGTTTGTGTATTTTCTCATGTCATTAGTGTATCTACTTGTCATTACTAACTGACTACTCTCCTCTTTTTGATATTTTTTATTATTTTGATTTGGTAAATAAATACACAATGTTTGTATATGAAGTCTATTTTTTTTGACAAACATATGTTGGATTGATATTGGCTTTTTCTCGTACTTTATCAGCCTACCGCATACTGCTACTGTTGAAAGCTATAAACCCAAGAGCATTCCCTTGGGTAGCAATTAAATGTGTGTAAGTTTACATTTTAGTAGAAAGGCCCAGTGTGGATCATTATTTACAATCTAAAGCTTGTTTATCTATAGCTTTGGAAAGAGCTTTGATGATTGATGATGGACAATTTGCTTGAAAAAAAATATTGGAAACCCAGATTTACGTGAGTCTGAAAATAAATGTGCGAGATGAGAGCTGTTCCCTCTGACATGTGCTACCAATTTCACACTGTTGCGGTCACAATGATTTGTAATTTGTTGATGTCACAAAAGCTGTTGTCTGTGGAAAAAACAAGGAATTAAAAATATGTTTGGCATAATATTAATTTTGGATTAGAACTCAAATTGAACCTGTCCAGAATTAAGTGTTTCCACCTCATCACTCAGCCTCAATAATGCATTTTGTTCAGCTGTTATTGAAGGCAAATATTTTTTAAATTGTTAAACCTTTTGCTATCGTTTTTTCCATTGTGTTTTCGCTTTCATCCATATTGATTTTTAATGTGTGTTTTGTGTATGTATCTGCCACATGTTGTATTTAACAAAGTACCCAATGAGGTGTTAAAATTAGCGTTAGACTTTCTGAGCTTTTCATATTGTCGTATCAGTTTTCCCTTGTCATTTGCGTATCCAAGTCTTCTGGAAATTTCTGAAAAGTTGTTCCTACAATCATTAAATTAAATTAAATTAAAAACCAAAGCTAATTTTGCTACGTATTTTTTTGTTTTGTTATGTAATTATAATCATAATCTAAATAATAACCCATTCTCAAAACAGTTTGGTTATTTCCACGAATTTCACATGCATGTCCTAAAAAGAGGACCACCCTCACTCAGCCAATCAGAGACTCTTTCTCCCACAAACGATAATGTGTTTTTTTATAAGATGAAGCTAGCAAGTTGAGGTCTGATTTGTACAGGTTATTTTAAAATATTCTCTTTCTATTGTGACAAACAAAGTGAATTATTTAAAAAAATGTGGTACCTCTTCTTTAAGAAAAAAAAGACTTATACTTGTCTTTAGATAAACAACTATTACAATTAGACTACTATAGAATCTGGGAACATGACTTTTTTTGGGAAAGGGGTTAGGACTTAAAGTTAAATAAGCAAATGTCATTTATTTTTCAAATTGTGTAGAGCGACCCTCCCATCTAACAAAATAATGTAGCAGGGTTTGTTTTGTATCATATGAACCTTTTTGTGTGTCTGAATTCAATTAAATTATTTCTTTCAGATCTCACCATCCAGCGCAGCCACAGACTGGTCTCGCTGGCCGTGCGGAGCGTCACGTTTGCGGGCGCCATGTCCGGAGGGGCTGGGAGTGTCTGGATCTTCCTGGAGGGCTGACTGGGAGGACTGCTTCCCACGATATTCACTTGCCTCATTCGGAATCTACAATATTTCACAAACAAAAGAGAAGACGAATGAAAAAAAAAATCCTTTCTTTTTTATTATTACTGTGAAAGGTCGTTTACAGTATGTGCTGCAATCAGGTGATAGCAAGTCAAGATGTAGTCACAAAAACAAAAAAATTATACAAATGTTATCATCTAATCCAGGTTAAAGACTGTTCTGTTTGCCTGTGCTTACAACTGAAGGATTTTATCTCCATTTCTAATGCACTGTTGTTATTTATTTATTTAAATTCCTTGTGTAATTTTGAAAGTTTTAATGGTTTTAATCTTTTGTGTGATTTTAATGTTTTAATTGTGATTCTGGTGTTTGTTTTATGTGATGATTTATGATGTGGACTGTGAAGCGCTTTGTGTTGCCCTGTGTATGAAAGGCGCTCTACAAATAAACTTTGATTTATTTATTGATCTTAGTTCTTTAAATTCCTTTCTAATTGTGAAATGTGAGTGTATATTGCAGATGACTATTTATACTTAAACATTCATAATAATAGTGATATATTATATGCACATGTCCTGTTGCAGCTATACCTATGCCACATTAAAATCCTGGCGAGACTTAAAAAAACCTGTGTTGAGTTAAAATGCCTTACACGGAGCTTACGGAGTTTGAACCGCGATCACAGCCGGGGATATGAATTCAGGCAGATTATATGAATAAATCCTAAATAAATCCGACAAGAACGATTTAGTAAAATGTAAAAAAGTTGCAGTCTCTTGGCGTCGGTCTTGATGGAGGCAGCTTTTAGTGGTGATGTTAATTGGCTATCTTGAATCTGATTAGGGAAAACAAGCTACAAGAGAGAGACAGAGAAACGCCTGCGCTAGCTGTAATAATAATCACGTCATTATGGGCTCGTGTCGGACGCACAGGAAGTATGTAAGGTGAATGTGGACGAAAAATAGAAAGCGCTCCTGGGATAAACTGGTGCAGGAATACACCGAGCTGCTGCGTAAGCGAGTTGTTCTGCTAGTTTCATATTAGCTGGCACTTTATTGGGAAAGTAATGAGGAGGCTGAAGCTGAAAATGGTCTCTGGAACGGAGTTATGGCGTTTTAACAGAACATTTAGCATTTAGTGAATTGTATTATTTGATTAGATTTGATTATGCTAAAGTCAGGCTTACTTTTTGCTATTATTACTGACTGTTCCTTATTAGGGTTATTTAGAATAGAGTTTAGTATAGAGCTGTGTTCATTTATGGCGGCATGGCTGGGACTTGACTTTACAGCAAGAACGTCCCAGGTTCAACTTCACCTCTAGACTTTCTATGTGGAGTTTGCATGTTCTCCCCATGTCTGTAGATTTCCTCTGGGCGCTACGGTTTCCCCTACCACTAAAATCATGCACATATAGGTACTCCAAAAACATGGTAAAGTGGTTTGCGTGACCTTGGTTTGTGAAATGTGCTGTATAGATAAAGATTACTTACAAATAATACTTACTATTTATTTATTTATTTATTTTTTATTTTTATTTTTTTAAATTTCTTGTGTAATTTTGAAAGTTTTAATGGTTTTATTCTTTTGTGTGATTTTAATGTTTTAATTGTGTTTTAATCTTTTGTGTGATTTTAATGTTTTAATTGTGATTCTGGTGTTTGTTTTATGTGATGATTTGTGATGTGGACTGTGAAGCGCTTTGTGTTGCCCTGTGTATGAAAGGCGCTCTACAAATAAACTTTGATTGATTGATTGATTGATACTTTGGAACATACTGGGTAGTTATTTTAAGCAATAATGAAATCTCTTTTTCATTCACAGGATGTCATTTCGTCTCATTTGCTCACCCCAATACTACTGGTAATGTTTTTATATAAATAATGAAAATCAAAACATAATAATATAAGCGTTTTTATAATCATATTTTGGCCTAACCTTGATGCTACAGTCATATTTTGTGTTTGGTACTGATTGAAAATAAAATATGGCATTACGTGTTGGATGGTTGATCTTTTGCTGCCTTTGTAACCCGCAGTGTGGGTACTGTCCTTTCATGCTATATGTGTGTGCTTCATCATACACCCACATAATTACCTATAAAACATGAAAGGGTTGAGGCCTGGGACCACCAACGACCGGGCATCTGGTTCATTTGAAACCTGGTGTACCAAAACCCATTCGTCGTTCTCTCCTGTCGCTCCCACCTTCAGAAAAAAACGACAACAAAAAACATCCAAAATCACACATAATAATAAGCGAAAACAGCAGCAGGGCCAGATTGTCAGAGTGTTGCATTGCATTAGAATAAGAACAAGAAAAAACCACACAAACCTGCGCCTCCACCTGCCAGCGAGATATGGACGTCTTGCCGTCGTAGCCGGGTTTGAACTGAAGGGTGACGGAGCGAGGGCCCGTGTTGGAGATGCCGATGTTTGTGGGAGGCCCGGGCAGCTCTGCGGAGTCACACAGAGGACACAGAAAAGGGGAAAAAAAGTTACACTCCAGTCTGCAGCATGTGGAGACAGGGGAGGCATCGGTTCAGGCTTTTTACAACTGCGCCCCCTGCTGCACGAGTAGATAAGGCTCAAGATGTGAAGATTAGTTTTGTTGTTTTTTTACACTAAGGCTACATCTGAATTCAGCAGCAATACCTTCTTACTGATCCTTCCTCATCCGTTTGTGTGATTTAAAATTGCCCTTGTATAACAGACTGTAGCTCTAGGTTGGTCAAGTGTTTTTGATTCCATTTCGGTCTCTATTTCTAAATATAGTCCAAAAAATACCACTAGTAAGATAAGATAAACTAGACATGTATTTGTCCCACAGTGGGGAAAGAAAGGAGGAAATATGAGCGCTCAGATTGCACGCATCAAACAGGATCTATTATTTAAGATAATATAAAACATGAAATAAAATACTAGAATACTAAGATAATAGCATAAATTAAGGTAAGCGATAAAAAGCACGGAATTAGTCTGAAAACATGTCTAATTAAAACTTTAAATAGAACTCTATATTTAGAATGATTAAGGCAAAACTGTCTTAATTTCCTTTCAATGAACATCATTTTCTTCAAACCACACCCAGCCTTTCGCCCCCAAACCCCACACATAACTAACTTTTAAAATCTCGCCATTGTTGTGCGGCTCACCGTCGACTTCCGAAAAGTAGATTACCAAAAGTGAAAGATGCTTACACATGCTACACGCGCCGGGACAATGCACTGAATGCCAATTACTCTGCAGTTATCCGGAGATACTATCCAATCTGATATTCTTCTGTTTACACTCAGGCTGGATAAACAATGAACGGGATTACACTCACTGTTGAAATCCTCCGGGACACACAAACCTGGAAATTGCATCTTCAAAAATCCTTCCCATTTCTCGACATTGCGCAAATATTTCTATGCCCGTCTCTACACCTGCATATGAAAATCCCAAAATCCGCGATCCGTCATTCTTATCCCTCCTTCAGGTAAACGTTATCTGAAAATTATATACTTCAAACTTTGTTATAGCAAAAAAAAATCCTAACTGCGTGTATTAATATCAGTTTGAGGCTTGCATATGTAGTCCAATTTACTTTAACGACTCCCATGGGTGCGATCGTGCTTTTCCAGCCAACTGCTTAACTGCGGGAGGATCAACACATAACAAAAAAAACAAAAAACGCAGGGAGTACATTAAGGCAGTTAAAACCCAGAGCTGTAAATCATTAGCATGACTGATAATGTGGGTGGCTTTTTTATTTCTCCGCTAAATTGTTTGGGTACACTTGCACAATAGCAGTAATTAGTCCAACGATCGGCGATGTAGCAGCCTATCATTTCAGACGTACACACTCCGAGCGTAGTAGTGGTAGTAGTAATTAGTGTGGAAATGAAATGAGATGGGTAAGCGGCTGTTTTTGAATGGCCACATGGGTCGGACGGCAATTTGTTATGGAAATGAAAGGTAAAGGAGAATGCAAATGCGACGCTGTTAAAGTGATGTTAAAAATTTAGTTTGATTTTATTGGTACACAACATATCATGGGGGTCTTGCACTGTAAAAAATGATTTAAAATAATTGCTTATATCAATCTTAATTTGAGTTCATTTCTGAGATTTGCCACTGGTACAAAGCCATTTAGTCTCATTTGAAGAACTGTTGCTGTATTTTCTTATTCCAAGGGAGACACGTGTTGTATATTTTTAAAACAAGATGGTCTTACTTTTTCCCATTGACGAATCTTGTTTTAGGCAGTCAAAATGTGCTCAAATTAAGATAGATTTTGCTATCGATCTTAATTTTGTTTTTATTTTACTTTTTGCAGTGTATAGGTTTGTGCTTGAAAGTTTACACACCCAGGCTGACATTTCCCCCTATGAAACGTCATTATATGGAGATAATTCCGAAATGATTGCCCCCTTTTCAGAAGTAGTCCTGGATGCATTTCTTTAACCTCTAAATAACTGTATAAGCTTGAATGTTCTTCAGTTTCTATAGCAACATTCTTTTCAATGCAATTAATAGATTATCAGGGCTCTATTAATTGCATTGAAAAAAACAGGTGTTGTGAAATGTGTGAGTGTCTACTGCAAGGAATCACCCCCACTGATGCATAATTAACTAGTTTTATGTGTATAAGTTTATGTGTATAACTTCTATTCAGGTTTTCTCGCTGGTTTTATAAGTTTACAGCTTATTTTTACAAGTACTTTCCAAAAGTTCAACATAAGACGGTAAATCTCCATTTAAAGAAAAGCAGGGAAAAGGTTGCTGCAATTTCACACAAAGAAAGTATAAAAAGTAGAATTGTGTGCTTAGAGCAGCTTTAGGTCCGACTTCCTCTGTTCTGGTGGAGGAGACAGTGGGATTTATAGACAATAAAATGGGGTTTATACGTATAGGTTGTACGGATATGGGAAAGCACACACTACGGCTGCCAAATAAAGTCCAAAAACTGTCTTCTGTTTCTTCTAGGTGCACAGAAAACTTAGAGCCATATCAGGACTAACACGTCTCCGGGGAACAGGGACAGGGCAGGCAGACGTCAACGGGAGCTGGCAGGAGGAGCTCTGGGGGCGAGGGCCACAAGTTCATGCACTACTTGTCGAGTTATAGGCTCAGTGTAGAAGTAAAAACAGGGCTATGTGAATATTTGTGTTTATTTAATTTTGTTCTGAGGGCAACCGGATGAGTGTGAGTTCCCAGTCAATTCACTGCATGACAAAACAAATTCTATCTATTCTATCTATCTATCTATTTATCTACACTCTACAGCATCTATCTATCTATCTACGGTATCTATCTATCTGTCTGTGTCTGTCTATATCTATCTATATCTATCTACTGTATCTATCTATCTATCTATCTATCTATAAATCTATCTACGGTATCTATCTATCTGTCTGTGTCTGTCTATATCTATCTACTGTATCTATCTATCTATCTACTGTATCTATCTATCTATCTATCTATCTACTGTATCTATCTACTCTACTGTATCTATCTATCTATTTATCTATCTATCTATCTACTGTATCTATCTATCTAACTGTGTGTCTGTGTCTGTCTGTCTATATCTTTCTACATCTATGTACAGAATCTATCTATCTATCTACTGTATCTATCTACTGTATCTATCTATCTATCTATTTATCTATCTATCTACTGTATCTATCTACTGTATCTATCTATCTATCTATTTATCTATCTATCTACTGTATCTATCTACTGTATCTATCTATCTATCTATTTATCTATCTATCTACTGTATCTATCTATCTATCTATCTACAGCATCTCTCTATCTATCTACAGCATATCTCTATCTATCTATAACTATCAACAGAATCTATACATCTATCTACTGTATCTATCTATCTATCTATCTATCTATGTATCTACCATGCTAATTGCCCAAAACCTGATATAATATTAACAGATTCTTCATGAGACCGCCTACTGAACTTTGTAATGTTGTACCTCTCCACACATTGGTTTAATTTAATACTGGCAAGGGAATATACATTTCCATCGAGAGAAGTGATTTCCAGCATTTAACTATAATAAAATCCCGACTTGTTGTTTTAGAAACCAGAATTATCCGAGGATGGATGTTATGAACGCAGTGAAAGAAGAATGATTCACTTTGCCAAAATCTTATACTATCTTGTATCAAAGTGACAGAGCTCTAAGTGCATCAGTATGTAGTGGTACAACTTTGGACACGCAAAAGTGGATTACCTCTGGAGCAATACATCATATGTGAAATATTGAGACAATGCAAAGCTGATTCAAATACTGTATAAATGACACTTATTTAAGGGGGGAAACCACAAAATATAACTTTTTTTTTGGGGGGGGGGTTTCTTGCCGATCCAGCAGGGTCTGAGGACAGTAATGCTTCGGGATATTTAAGGACATTTATGGATTTTTTAACATTGGTCATCCCGCTCCCTATGGACCAATGGCTCCTACAGTATGTGTTTGTAATTATTGAATTATTGAATGTACCGTGTTTGTTTTGATTCTCCGATCTGTTGTTTGTGAATCGACAACTTTGTAAAGTCCTACGAGCTGACTGCTATTGTGGTTTAGGGCAATACACAAATATGTTGAATTGAAAGTTTTTATCTAAGTGTGAAATGTGATCAAAGTAGCTGCATTGTTGGTCTTCATCCATACAATGGAAAAAATATATATGATACAATATAAAGTTATGATCTCTTGAATCAAGTGATTTTTTCCTTATTTTGAGTACATTTGAGTACATTCTCACTGCCAATGGGACAAAGCCATTAAGTCTTACTTCATCTTTATTTTCTGATTCCAAGGCAGACATTTCTTCATCTTGATGAAACAAGATATTTTTGCTTGTTGCATTGGAAAAAATTGTTTAAGGCAGTCAAAATTGGGCTCAAATTAAGATGCATTTAGCCAATTATGGGACATTTTTGACTTATCTTTTCATCACTTTTTTGCGGTATAGGCTCATGACTCTCACTTAGTATTGTTCCTTGCTTGAGTAAAGTGTGTTTAAAGTGGGTAAAGTGACTGACCAGGTGGGACCCCGGAGGAGATGGTGGACGAGGAGAGCTGGCCCTGGCCTTTGGAGGTCATCCCGCCGACCTCGATGGTGTAGGTGGTGAGAGCGGTGAGGCCTGTGACGCGGTACTCCAGCGTCACGTTGGGCATGTAGTGAGTGACTCTGGTGTTGGTTCGGTTAAACTCCTCCCACGAGATACGGTAGCCTGGAAAACATGGAGGAGACGCAGTTATATTTATGGGTGCATTACAACAATACACTTTGAATGCTACATATGACACAAATCTTAAACACCATTCCTCAAAGCTGCATTACCAATTTTCAAGGCCTTTTCTCCTTTCTAAAAAAAGTTGCGTCGGGAGCCCTCTCTAAAACGAAAGGACCACCAAGAGAAATTTAAAATGTGACTCACATGGATTTTTTTGCAAAATTGTACAATTCTTTCTGATGGGACGAAGAACATAGATTAAGATAATAAGTTAGGGAACCCTGGATCTTATCAACATGCATTTATGAACATTTATTATGTTTTTTTTTTTTAACTCTTCATTTAACCAAGAAAAATCCCATTGCTCATTGCCTGCCAGCCCATTTCAGAACAGGTACTCCCATATTGCCAGCTATTTCTGATGATTTTTATTGTTTTTTTCAAGACCCACAGGATATTGTGTACTATGATTGTCCTGTGGGTCTTCATAGAAATCCCAAACCAGATTCTGAAAAAATAGACTGTCTACTTTCACAAGAAAAAATAATTTAAAACCAAAACAGAATCATGTAAAACAGTTACACAAACAATGGAAACACTAATAGCTTTTGGACTACTTCAAATATTTCTCCTTGTGAAACACTCATATATTCCTTTAACTTCTTCATATCCCAAAATCATCCTTAGTGCCTTTTAATATCTACCACAGTAAAATTAATCTACGACAAAAGCCAGATGACAGACGCTGTTCCCTGGAAGGAAGTCGGACAGCAGCGTTACCACAATGCCGACTCGGGGCTGGCACGCAAAGAGAAATATTACATTAACTTCATCAAAAATTGAATATAGCAAATTAAATCAGGCTGCGATTACACCCGCCCACTCTCGTCCACACACCAGCGCACCCTCTCAAAGTTAATGTAATTTGCTTCTTGGCCGGCAGCACTTTTCATGTGATTGCATAAGGCATTAAGCAAAATTCTCTGCCAAATCGATAATTTCTTGTGGCATTGGCAGCGTTCTTCTCCAGGGAGCGTGCGGCACTATCATATGTTTTTGCGAGACAACAATCTTAACCTCTCCAAACACGCGGATATCAATGTCAACAAAGAATCAGCGTGTCTTTGCTCAGTCTGTGCGCGCCCGCGACTAAGGACGCGATTAGTCTTTGAGCCCGGGTCGAGTCGGAGAGGGCATCTTTCATGGAATACATCTATTTGCGACGTCACTTATGTAAATGGTTTGGTTAAACAGAGAATGGGAGGGGATACAGTAGGTCATATTCAACCAACACATAAGACAGATACAGTATATTTACAGTATGTGCAAAAATGGTTGATAGTAAACAGCTGTAGTTACCTGGGCTGATCCAAACATTTCACTTTATACATCTGTTTCTTTATAATACCATTCCTTATCACTTGTCAAATGTCTATTGTGTCTATAAATGAATTAGAATTCTATATATGAATTAGAATTTAAGATTTTTTCAACGCATGCCTTTATATCTCTTTTAACGTTTTTACAACTTACAGCACATTCCTAGTTTGTGACCTCTCTTACAGTAAAAATAATTCTGATTTTGAATTCAGGCTGCCAATAAGTGCTAGTATCACACAGATAGCATATTAAAGCTTGAGTATCCAACTTGTTTTTGTCCATTGGAAAAAAAATCTTGTAACTGTATGCTTTTGTGTCCAAATGTAAAACAATTCAGGAAAACAACATGATATGTGTGCATGATGCTAACTAATTGTAAATATGTAGAAAAATATAAGTATTGTGTTTTGCAAGAAAGTGTAAAATCTAAACTAAAACTAAAAATATTTAGACGCTGAAAGAGGAGGTGGGAATCAATACACTGGGGTAGTGTTGCACAGTTTTTCCAATATGGTTTTACTGCAAATGGAAAATACATTCTTGAATCGTGAATATGTGTTCAACTTTATCCCACTCCTTTTCAGTTAGCAATGCATTTTTGTTTTACCATCAGTGTTCTTACAACCCCTGTTTTGCTGTTGTTGTTGTTGTAAATGGTGTACACTTTTTCATTGTCTGCTTGAAACATCCATCCATCCATCCATTTTCTACCATTTAATCCATTTCTGGGTCAGGGGGGTGGCAGTCAGAGATGCCACCCAAGTCTCATAGCACCAGCCCCTCACTGACCCTCTGCAGGTGGTGAGTCCACAGGAGGACGGCTGCTCTCTGAGTGTAAGCATAGCCTTGATCTTTCAGTGGGGGCTTTTGGGCAAAGTGGGGTTAAGTGTCTTGCCCAAGGACACAACGACAGCAGTCGTCTCCACGACAGGAGTCGGTGGAGAAGGTGTCGAGGTGGGAATTGAACCCACGACCTTCAGGCCTGAAGGCCAATGCTCTACCAACTGAGCTACTGTCGCCCCATTGCTTGACTGCTTGAAACAAACTAAACTAAAACTAAAAACAAAACAAACAAAAAATAAGGCCATAACAAGCTGTATTTATCTTATTAGAAAACGTGTTATCTTTTGCATTCTTTGGACTTGTTTATTTTTAGCTTTTTTTCTCTTTTCCCCACTAAAAAAACCCCTGCCCTAACATTAACACCTGCTCCACCGCCTCTTGCGCCCCCTCCACCTCCAAGATGCCGGATCGGGTATAGATATTTATTTGCCTAATTTCATCACACGTGAATATCAAGCTGCAAAAACACATCTGCTTGAGTCGATGAGCTGCGAGCCTGAAGCCAAACGACCACTATATTTCAAATGGGAGAAGAGTGAGTTACAGCTTATTCGTGGTAAACAAGTTAAGCATGAGAAAAGAGCTGGCATCATTGTTGGGATCAGTGTTTAATGGGATTTTTTATGGCTGTTATTCAAAGGCATACAGACACAAAGACATTTGCTTCAGTGTAGAAATCCTAGTAGCAACAGTAGTAGTAGTAGTAGTAGTAGTAGTAGTAGTAGTAGTAGTAATAGTAGTAGTATTAGACCAGGCCAGAGTCAATCGTGAGGCATTGTTTTTTTTCTCACTGGATAACTCCGGGCTAGGATATTTATATATATTTAAATGTAATTGTTGTAGCAGTAGTAGTAGAAGTTGTAGTCGTAGCAGTAGTAGTAGTTGTAGTAGCAGTAGTAGTAGAATTTGTAGTCGTAGCAGTAGTAGTAGTAGTTGTAGTAGTAGCAGTAGTAGTAGTAGTTGCAGTAGCAGTAGTAGTAGCAGTAATAATAGCAGTAGTAGTAATAGCAGTAGTAATAACAGTAGTAGTAGTAGCAGTAATAGCAGTAGTAGTAGTAGTAGTAGTAGTAGACAGATACAGTGACTTGCAAAAGTACTAATACAACTTGAACGTTTACATATTTTGACAATGTTTACGACCACAAACATGGATTTTATTTAGGATTTCTTTATTTTTACGAAAGACCACACCACATTGTTACACAAATAGGAAGTGAAATAAAAAAATATAAAATAATGGAACGCACTCTACTGAAGACCCACTTTTTTTGTTTTTTTATTCTTTAAAAAAGCAAAATCATTTTCCTTTCACTACAAAGTTGCTGGTTATTGCCTGCGGCTTTTAAAAGAAAAAATAAAGTGAAAATGTGAAGCAGTTAAGTTAGTATGGTTTGTTTGCAGGCCAATGTATTTAGATAGACACAGGATTGGAAGTTACCCAGAACAAAATTAATATAATTTATACGTACAATATATATAATTCTTGATTCTTGTACTTAAAGCAAAATCATGTGTAATTTTCCTTTCACTTCACAGTTGCTGTTTATTGCTTGTGGTCTTTACAAAAAAAGAAAAAATGAAAATGTGAAACTGTTAAGGTAGTATGGTTTGCTTGCAGGCCAGTGTATTTAGATAGACACAGGATTGGAAATTACCCAGAAAAATTACTTATACTTGCAATATAATATAATATAATACTTATACTTATTATTATGGGTAAAATGGGAGCAGCAGGCCACATACTGCTCTACAGTATGCCACAGCCTGGGAGTGCAACATTTGTGGGGAATAGGTGAAAAGTAAAGTAAGAAAGTAAGACAGACATTGTGTTACAGCCGCAGTAAGCAGCATTTCAAAATAACCGTTTTCTCAACCATCTCACTTCTATTCCCACAAAACTAGAACATTGCTCTCTCACCAATCTCTGGGTATAATAAAAAGCATGTACCTGTCAGGACTCCATTCTTCTCACTGGGCTCACTCCAGCTGACTTTGAGAGACGTGTCGAAGATTTCTGTGAAACTAAGATGACCGACCGGGCCAGGAGCTGGACAAAGACACACAAAGAAGAGAGTCAGATGCATTGAAGAATTAGGTGTGGGCCAACTATTACATGTTTTGAAGTTTTGATGTGTATGAAAGCCACAGAAGGAACACTTTTCAAATAATAATCCAAATCCTACAAAGTTATCAGTAAAGCGAGGCTCCTTTACACCATTTACTCTTAGTGTTGGGGAGAATACTTTGAACATTTATTCAGTTACAAAAATACAAATAAAATGGGTTTTGGAAAATATTCTATTACCAGGTCCAATTAAAGTACTATATTTTGAATATCTGGAATACTTTCAAGTAACAATGGATTAAAACTACTTTGTGTATTGCACCATTTTCACACATTGTTTCTTTTGATAAGAAAATGGTTTTACAGACTTGCATACACACTAAAAGACAACACGGAATTTGGTCTTGCCTCAATTAAAGGTGATGTCATAAACTCACATATTTCTAACCACATGACTCTGTAGAATTATCTATATAAGTAAAACAGTCCTTCCATGTGGAATAACCACCACCAGAACAAAACAAAACAAAAACCCTGGAGGAGAATATTTTGACCAATGGTGAGGAGCCTCAGCTGTCTGTCAAAAATGTGAATTTGTTGCATCCAATCAGGAAGCAGCGGGGGCGGGTCTAACAGGGGCTTACATTCTAAAAAAGTCATAATACCATTCTCTTTAATTTTGTTTAGAATAATTACATTGTGAATGCTATGAAAAGAAAAGGCAAAAATAGTCTAGTAATATTTCTGTGATGTTCCAATACTCCCCAACACTGGATTCAATGCAGCCAAAAATTGAGTTTCGACTTTCCAGGTAAAAGGAAAATGGTGAAGAACTTAGAAAATCAAAAAATCCAAGGCACTCGTGGTCACTAGTTTAGAAAAGTTTAAAAAGCCTTTGTTTTCTCATGGCTGTGGATTAAAATACGCACCAACGCGTTTCAGCCTCGCTTGGCCTGGATTCAATGCACTTTCAAGTGAACAGAAGTGTTTGTCCATTGAAAGGAAAACATAGGCTAGTTTTAAAAATAATGCTGTTTAATCAATGGATTCTAGATTTAAATAAGGAGCCATAAAGAAACTAACTATCTAAAGGCAAATTAATAGATTAGTCTACTTAGTAGATTCTCTTGTTATTACTTTGAGATATATGCCATCAAAACATGTCAAGGTAATCAAGAATCTAGAATTTATTTGCCACTTGCAGTAAAACCACATTGGAGAAACTGTGCAAGACCAGCCCAGTGTGCACCAGACTGAGAAGATAGTAAACACCAGCGCTCCTGCCAATAATAACGTCGCAAACTTAAATAACCAAACAGCTTGATCAAACAAATAGCCCTCACAACACTGTCAGTCCATGAGGAAAAGAGCGTAAATACGAGACAACCCAGCACATTCTCAAAAACAAACACACTCGCAACACATTACAAAATACGTGTTTACGAACAAATTAGCTGCGACGAGATAATTGCAGAGTCAAATTAGCTAACGACAAGTTGAAGTTGAGGATTAATTTTTTTTAAACGATAATCTCCAAGGCAACAGAGAGCCCCAATTACAGCGATGACGGCGAGATGCAACAAATCCACTTGTTCATTAGCGCTGGTTCTACAACTCTGCATGAATAAAACATCTCGCCTGTAGGACGGAGGGACGGCAGAGATGTTCCCAGAGAATGAGGAATAAATAAATAAAATGTCTTACTGTCCTCGTGGGTTCTGAGGAGTTTGTGGGGGCTTCGGGGTCCGTCTCCGGGCGTGGTGAAGCAGAGGACCGAGGTGTAGTATTCGGAGAACTTCTTGAGGCCGGTGATGTAGCCCACGTGTACGCTGTCCTGGAAGTTGGGACGCACCGTTATCGTGGAGAGGTCTTGTTCTCTGCCGGGCTCCCAGGCCAGAAGCTAAAGAAAAATAGCGACAGAAGAAGAAGGAAAAGAGAGGGATTGTGAGCGAAAGGTTGACTTTTGATTTTATCGATGCTTTTATGTGTGAAGTTATGATGACATTTCCTCTGAGCTTTCTCTGAGCAAAATGTAGAAAATATGTGTATGAGGAGATTCGACCAAGTACTCAATGCTAAAGCTGGGGTTCCTAATTTTAAAATCATAACAGAAATATTGTTGTGATAAAATTATTTACAGATTACGTACTTACTTAAAATCTATGTATTGAAATAACCTGAGCAGCCATTCAATTATCAAAGGCAACTCAGGCAAAGTGGGGTGAAGTGTCTTGCCCAGGGACACAACAACAGCAGACTTCTGTGAGAGTAACCCTAGCTTTAAATTAAGAACTTTTGGAGACGATTCAACAGTACATTAACCTTGTATGAATTTACAACTGATGTTTTCAAGTTTCCATGGCTATTACGTTGTGTTAAAAGCAGTATTAAGATTTAAAATAGTCAAAATGGGATAGTTAGATAAAAGTAGATGGAATTTGTATGTGCTTTATAAGTAAAAATAGTAATTGTATGAATAGAAATGTTAAAGTAGTACTAGAATTTAATATGCTGCTATCCAGAATATATAACTATAATATGTGTTTATAATATTTCGGGTGTTCATTTTGATATGTTCAGATGAATTATGTTAAAGAAGCTATACCCGATTTTTTTTCTAAGTAGTTCATAAAAATTCTTTTTACTACATACAAGTTGTATCATAATACATCATTTAATTGAAAACTTGAGGTAATTGATTCAGCTGTGTAAGAATTACAAGCAGTGAAAAGTGCTGAGTAGAGTCTGAGCGGGCCGCTCTTTCTCCTCCGCTCACAGAACGAGCAGCGACCAGCCTGCGTCCTCTAGCCTCTACAGCGCTGCTTAACACCAGGACTTCGACTTCAAAATTCGAATATAATTCTAAAATAAAAAATGAGGAACAAAATAATTGAATAAAAAAATGTGAACAAATATTAGACAACCCTTGTAATTCGAAATGTATTAAATGACTGCAAATAAAATAGTTAGCTCCCAAAGGTTTCACCGGGACGTGCTAGGCAGGTAACAGCTAAGCTAGCTAGTTGTTTCATGGTAACTTCCGGGTTTTTCGCAATCGCTTTTTGTCACATTGAAACAGTATTTTTGTCATGAAAACGTTAACAGCAAATTCTGAAATCATCCGTGCATGTGTTTTAAAGATGTATATGTGTACTGTATTGTCCGATTGACGTTTAATGGTGTTGATTGATTGATATGTAGTTGTTTATTGAGCGTGGCTAGCTCCGCTAGCTTCTCTACACAGACAAGTGTGTAGTGACAAGCGCTGATAGCGTTTTGTACTTGCAGAGTAATGGCAGTATTTTACACACCTGAATTACAAACAGAGGTTGCATTGGGGCTTCGGTCATTATTGGTTTGAGAGTTCTGTTATCAAGAACGGAAGAATTGCTGCTGCTGCTTTGAGAATATATTCTAATATCAAATTAAAAATTAAATATTAGAATATATTCTAAGGTTTTAAATTAATACATTCGGACGCGAAACGAGCGGTATTTTTTTACTTATATATTGTGTTAGCAGTGCGTTGCTTTAGTGCCATTTCATCAGTGATTGTTGCACAGCTTACAAGAAGTTGTGCTAATGCTAATGTTAGCATATGTATCAGATCGCAAATAAAACTAGGTGGCTCCGTGTTATGAGAGCGTAGGGGAAATGAGAAGCCTGTGAGCGAGTTGGGGGCGGTGCTAAACATTCAAACATTGCAGAAACGGGTATAGCGCCTTTAAAAAAACAACTTTGAAGTCGCACCTTTAAAAAAAACGCTAGGGGGCGCCAAAATGGCGGCGATGACGTAGGAGAATGACCTCTCACAGCAGCAGCAGCAGTCTGGGCTGGAAACTGTAGGAGGTTTCACTGTCATCTGAACAAGGTATAAACATATTTTCATCAGTTTTGTACATAATAGAACGCAACTATTTTAACCTTTTAGCCTTATTTGTGAGATTCAAGCTAACTAGTGTTGTAGCTAACTCTACTTGATATCATAAAATATGCTAACAAGGCTAATATTCATTTTTACATTATGCCAGTCTCACTTTGGTTGCCTTAGATTTATTTACCACAATATACATTGTAATATCCAAAAATGCTAATCAAAATAACTTGAATTAAATAAATATTTTACTTTTATGAACAAAAAGCTGCAGAAGTTGAAAACATAGACTACATGTGATGCAATCATTGATAAAAATGCTAATTAAACCATTTTTGGATATTAAAATGTACATTGTGGTAAATAAATCTAAGGCAACCAAAGTGAGACTGGCATAATGTAAAAATGAATATTAGCCTTGTTAGCATGTTTTATGATATTAAGTAGAGTTAGCTAACTTGCCCAACACTAATTAGCTTGAATCTCACAAATAAGGCTAAAAGGTTAAAAGAGTTGCACACTATTATGTACAAAAAGGGTGAAAATATGTTTATACCTTGTTCAGATGACAGTGAAACCTCCTACAGATTCAGCCCAGACTGCTGCTGCTGCTGTGAGAGGTCATTCTCCTACGTCATCGCCGCCATTTTGGCCCCCCCTAGCGTTTCTATGCGGAAGTGAAAAGGTGCAAATTCAAAGCAGTTTTTTAAACATAATTCATCTGAACATTACAAAATGAACACCTGATATATTATAAACACATATTGTAGTTATATATTCTGGATAGCAGCATATTAAATTCTAGTACTACTTTAATATTAAAAAATGTACAATAATAATAATAATACAAACAATATTAAAACAGTATTTAGATAACAATTCTAAAATTCTAAATATTATTAGCAATAGTAATCATGAGGAAAGTTTTGTGTATTTAGTATGTACTCACATTATAAGAAATTGAATTCATTTTACTGAAAAATGTCATCGCGAAAGGGGGTAGGCGTTATTAAGCATCTTGCCTCTGCCTACTCTTTTTGAGCGTCAAAGGTGTTATATACTTTCCTTACTTCTTTTGTTTTGCGTAACATCTGCTGAACCTTGTGCTTAGTTCAAAACATGCTGGACAATTAAAAAATCTAACCATATGCCACATTATACAGCTACACACCGAGCACTCTCTCCTCTCAACCATTCATTACATTTATATTATTTGACAAAACATATCAGCTCCGTAATTATGTTTAGATTTCAATACATTTGTCTCCACAGTCCACTGAAAGTTATGACATGTTCACCAGCGCAAAACCAAGTCTTCCCAAACTCCAGCGCTTTCCAATTTAATGTTTTTTTTTTGTTTTGTTTTTTTCCCCTCAGATTTCATTTGGCACAAGTTTTGTCAGCACTTTTACATTTTTGAGCAAAAATCCCCAAAGACCGTCAATGACTGTATTGCGAAAAAGAAAATGACAGCTGAATAGATAGGCTTTTTTCATTCGTTTGAACAGACTATTTTCTCTCTTGCATAACTGAACCACACAGGAGTTCCTTGGCAATACGGAATACATCACGCTAGTTTTTATAATGCTTTATGTCTTTTGGAATGGTCTCCCCGAAGACTCTTTGGGCCGTGAGCAGTTGAGCAGTTCCAGTAGAGACTGTAGAAGAAGAAGGCTCGCTGGAGGAAGCCATCGAGCTTGTTATTCTAAGTATTTACTGCTGGGACTTAAGGCCTACGATGTACAATTAGGTGCAACGCTAATAAGTCCCACTGGTCTTCTATTCCAGCGTTTTATGAGAAGTTAGAGCCAGGAATATGGTCTGGACAGTGGAAACTTTCCTGCAAAACAGTCTCCTGCATCTTTTATAAGTCTGAGGCCATTGTAAATTAGCGTAAGGGGTGCTGTATGTTTTGAAGTGAGATTATTCATCCAAGTTAAGTAGGATAAGAGTTTTGAGCTGTTTAGAAAAAGTGTTGGAATTTACGTGGAAAGACAGCACCGACATAAAAACATGTTTCACTTTGGAAAGATGCAGTTAGAGACATGTGATCGGCTGGTTCAGAACAGCTCCTAACCTTATAATACTTATAATAATAATAATACTTTGTTTTTTTTTGTATAGCTCTTTTTAGAAACAGTGTTGACTTATCACTGGTTTTAACAGAAGAGAACACATTACCCCTGTTTTACCCTCCACTGGCCTCCTGTACGGTATAGAATGGATTTAAGATTTTACTGATCACGTCTAAAGCTTATTTTAGGTCTGGCACCAATAATAATATTTATAACAACAATCTGATTATTTGCTCAGTGCCGATAAACCCCCCAAATAAAACAGTAACTGAATAACAAGTTCATTTATTTCTGTAATTCAACGTAAAATGTCAAACCAGTATGCTAAAGACCTATTCCAAGCAAAGTGACAAATAGCAAAAGGTTGCTTGGTCACATTTATGATAAAAATGTGACCATTACTATTTCAAGTTAAGAATAAGAACAAGATTAACTTTATTCATCCCACAGTGGGGAAATTTCAATGTTGCAGCACACATGCAGGACAGTAGTCAATTTATCCATTGTGAGATCAATAAAGTACCGGTAGCTGCTATGTTTCTTAGCTAGCTGTACATGCTTCAATATACAAAATACAATACAATACAATTTATTCTTGTATAGCCCTAGGTCACAACAGAAGTCATCTCAGAGGACTTAACAAAACCATTGAAATCACCAACACAGGTCAGAGAATCAACAGTTAAAACACATGAAGAATACAGTATAAAGCACACACAGAAGAAAATGTCCATACATGTTGTAGAATGCTAAAGTGTCCTGATCATCACCAATCCTTTCTGTTGGACACTAACTGTCCAACAAGACCCTCCTGCATCGACAAGGAAAAACTCTTAAAAAACCCAGTGGGAAAAAGTGAGAAACCTTGGGGAGCACTAGGGAAACCCACAGGGAGGGAGACCCATATGAGAAAGGGATCCGCTCCTCCGGACGGACAGACTAATGATCCAG